CACCCCCTTAAGTCCTACTTTTTAGCCAAGGGGAAGATGAGTGCAAAAGGACCATGTGGAAGATCATTGGTGATCAGGCTGACGGACTTTCTGACACGGTTACGCTTCCGGAGGGCTACCTTTATTTTGCTCATTCATTTCTCAGATTGTTTCATTCAGCTATTCTCACTCTCGAGAAAAGCAATCTCGAACCAACCGAGCTGTACGCGGTCAGAATGAACTTGAGTAGACAACTTGAGAATTGGACCGAGGACAAGTTCTTCGGGATTATGGCTAAGGCCCCTGAAACTCTCCTAAGTAGTGAAAAGATACAAAGAGAATCTCTGAATGTTTGGCGGGTTTGGCGGGTTTTTTCCGCCCAGGGGGCAGAGATAAAGGCGTGAAGCCTGACAAAGTCTCTGCCCCCCCAACAGTTCAACAGTAAACAGTGCAATGAATATAATCAGCAAAAAGTATACTCAGTAGAAATTAAAAAAAAGCACAGTGGAACAGGTAATTTAACATTCAACATTGTGACTTGTAAAAAATAAAAAAAACGGCACAATCAAACAACCAGCAAAAACATGTTACACAGCAAGCATGATTCGAGGCGTATAACACATGTAACGTCGTATGACACAGAAGCATCATATCATTAATATAAAAAAAAAAAAAGAATAAAACGTTAGAAGGTTACAGCCTAAAATAGGGCTGATGGCAGCAATTTAGTCTAGAAATGAATAATGATTGAATATATGCCAAGAGCCATATTTGTAGTCAAATATAAATACATAATAAAAATAACAGCTTAGCCTACATATCACACAAGTGAGAAGCTCATACCACTGCCCACGAGAAAGCTTCGGCACTGTTTTTTGAAGGCATAAAATGTTTTATTATAATCTATAGTCACGTCTGTTCTGTTTAGCATCTTAGTTATCTGATATGACAAAGAAGTGCGGCCATAATTGGTTCTTATTGAAGGCATCCTTCGTTTTGGGTCTCATAGTTGGTACGGACCTAAACTCGATTTTGGTGTGGAGTATATTCTATGTTTGTGAATCCATTGTAAGAGTTTAAAATAGTATATTTGGTCTGCCTGAAGCATATTATATTTGATGAATAGAGGTTGGGTTCTTATGTTTCTAATATCTCCTTTATAATTTTCGCACATGCGAAGAATCCTCTTCTGCAAGGTGATAAGTTTGACATAGTTCGAATTGATCGTCGTCCCCCAAACTAAGATACCGTAACTGATTTTAGAGTAGACCAAAGAATAGTACAACGTCTGTTTTAGCCAAGTGGGCAGCAAGTTTCGTATTTTATATATACTTCCCGTAACACGAGATAATTCACCTTTGAGTTTATTCACGTGAGTGTTCCATGAAAGGTCCTCGGTAAACCATACACCAAGAAATTTTTGTTCCGACACTTGCTCAAGCACAGTGTCTTCAAATTTTAAGCTTATGGGGCTGCAGTCGAGTTTATTTATTGGCTTAAAAATAATATACTTAGTTTTGATTGTATTTAGTTTTAAAGAATTTGTTTGTAACCAGTTGGATAGCTTCAATAGATAGACATTTGCAGCATTTTCTAGGCATTTTTTCGTCACTCCAGAAAAGAATACGTTGGTATCGTCTGCATACATTATAAGGTCGGGGGAACCGGATATAGTCGTTATATTATTAACATATATAAGAAAAAGAAGTGGACCTAAAATTGACCCCTGAGGGACACCATGCTGTATTTTAAGTCGATTTGACGATTCGCCGTTTATTAGTACATATTGGTAACGATCCGCAAGATACGTTTCAATTAATTTTAGAGCCACTCCGCGCACACCGTAAACTTCAAGCTTTCTAAGTAAAATATTGTGCTGCACAGTATCAAAAGCTTTACTTAAATCTAAGAAGAGACCAAGAGTAAATAATTTGTTCTCAATATTTTCTACTATTTTATCCTTTATGTTAAGAAGCGCTAGCTCCGCCGATTTTTGCTTTTGAAAGCCGTATTGGGACTTCGTTATTATATTATGCTTCTCAAAAAAACATGTTAATCTATCAGCAATGACACGCTCAAATACTTTAGAAAAAACTGGAAAAACTGAGATAGGTCTTTAGTTATTAATGTTTGTCTCACCCCCTCCTTTATACACTGGAGTAACCCTGGCTATTTTTAGCTCGTCAGGGAAATCACCGGACTGAAGCATCTTATTTACTATATTCGATAGAACTGGACTAACTATGGTCACAGTGTACTTAATAGGTAGGGTTTTTATTTCATCTACTCCAGCGGCGACGTCATTTTTTAGGTTTCTGATTATTTTATCAATTTCAAATGGTGTCATTGGAGTAAGCATAATCGACCCAATTTGGTTTCCCGCGTCAATACAGTCATCTATGTTGGAAGCCCTCCCAGTGTACGCACCCATGCTAATAAAATGTCTATTCATTTCATCGCCAAGTTCTTTCCCAGTGACACGTTTATTATCTATTAGTATTTCTTTCAGATTACATCGTGCCTGTTCCCTGTTCGTGAGTTTGTTTACTGTGTCCCACACTTTTCTATGGTCATTGTGTATGCGTAGAAGTTCTTTTTGATAGTATTCGCATTTTGCTTTTTTTAGGTCGGCATTAAGTTTGTTTCTGCATTTCTTGAACTCGATAAGCAGCCGCGGATCACGATGCTGAATGAAGGCATGATACTTGGCATTTTTTTGCCTTATTCTTCCATACAGGTCTCTAGTCATCCAAGGCTTTCTTAATTTTTTACATTTCACTCTACGTTCCTGAAGAGGGAAAGCTGCATTATAGTACTGTCTGACTTTCATCAGGAATATTCTATAGTGTACGACAGGGTCCTCACATACTTGGAGAAATGGTTTGATTTCGAAAATTTCCCATTCAAGAAGCTTGCCGAGCTTGAGTTGCGTAAGGGCGTACTTGGCATATTAGCGGTGGTCAGCACGGGGGAGCTGTTCAGCATCGATTTCCAAGAGCACGGCGATGAGCTATATAATGAATTCTGCCTTCTCAAGGACGCGTTTTCTGGGCTTTTGAGAAAGGATGTAACATCAAGCATACAGTGCCTTAGTTTCTTGAAAGAGGTTAAATGTCCTAATTTGCAAAACCTCATGGAACGTGTATTTGCTATAACCTGCAGCAATGCCTTCGTAGAACGGGTATTCAGTGTTATGGTCAATCTGTGGACAGATGAGGGGAACAGACTAGGTGTCCCAATGGTCAAAGCAGAGCTCTGCATCAGGCATAAGCTCCTGTACAGCTGTGAAGTGTTTGTGGGGATGGCAAAACAAAACAAACAGCTCTTCTGTGCAACTAGGTCCAATGCTAAGTACACATATAAAACGCGAAAATAGGCTGACCAGTCCCATATGATGTTATTTGTCATGTTTTCATTTTCATCCTTTTTGTCCTGCTTTAGTAGTAACTTGTGTTCATGATGTTCCTGTTTCAGTTAACCCAATTTAGGATTCCTTCTGTATTTTCTTGAGTTGGTTGTTGTTGCTGCCAGTGTTGTTTTGTTTGTTGTTTATTTTGCATTAGTTATTTTAAGACTTGTGTAGAAATATAATATGATAGATGTGTAGCAACATCAACCTTGTCCCACTTTAATAATTTTATATGTTGTATATTGTATTATATTATGCTGTATCATGTTTACTTTGTCTATACATATACAGACGCCTGTGAAAATTAACACATTACTACAAAAGCAAAAAAACAAGCATGAATCATTGCAGTATTGTCGCATTTCTTTATAAAAGTACCGAGTTTTCAGATAAATCAGATAAAATCCGTAAAGCAGTCGCCAGTAAAATTTCACCCATTCGGGTTTATACGGAAAACTCAGAATTTCGTGTACCATAAAAGAAAGCTTGGAAAAACTATGAATGTATGGTAAAAACTTCCAAGGACACCTAAGCACTTCTTATGAGTTGTGAATGCGAAAGCATGAATGTCGTTCTTCCGCTCCCTTAATTGACCTGCGATGTGGTTGTCCACTGGCGTGGACGGCAACATTTGGCTACTGCAGAGGCTGCGGCCGCTGCCGATATAGATGCCTCAGGCACTACTATGCTACTCGGTGCCGAGAGGAGCAGAAGCGGCTGCTGCCCCTGACTCCCCTCCGGCAATGCCCGACATAAGAGCGGCAGCCGAGTGCGCTCTCGTGAAGCGACCGCCAATGGCTATCTAGGGGCCTTTTGCTCAGCCAGTGGGAGAATGAGCATTTCTTTCATGTTTTTTTTGTGCTTACAAACGCCGCCGGCGTTAAAATAAACTCTGAAGCAGAACCCTGACGTTTTTACTTTGGTTCAAAGTCATCGCTACCCCCCCCCTCTCCCATGCAAGGTCGGTGGCCGGTTTGTTTTTCATTTGAGAAAGGTGGCAACCTTAGCTGTCCATCTGTTCTGCCGGGCAGTCGCATCCTTGGCCATGTTCCAAAATTTACTCAATCTTACTCCAGGATAAGGATTTTGTGCCTATGCGTTAAAAAACCGAACCGCGTCCAGCGTGGCTTTGTGTTATCACGTGACATGACCCGCAGGAGTAGGTTGGATTTATTTGGGTAAGATTTCAAACACAGCCCTTCCCTTTCCCATTTTTGGGGCCTGAATAGCAGCAGAGGCCTTGAGCAATTGACCGATAGTCAACAGAGCGTGTGAGCAGCTGTCCAAACCCACGTTATGATCATGCTCAAGGCCCCTGTGAACGACACGGGCGATCTTTGACGGAGGGAACTTTCCCCATGGCAAAAAAAACTTACAAATGCAGACCGCCGCACGATTTATGTCGGAGTCGTGTTGCCTGACGATTTCTGAAGTGTCCTGTTTGGACAGGCCTTCAAACGGCAGTTGTTACTCGGAAAAGGTCCATTCAGGGAAGGCAAAGATATGCGTGCGTAGCTCCGACTGCTTTGGCCCAAAAACCTTCCAGTGGGTAGTATAGCCTTGCCAGCAGCACCGATAAACGGGCAACAGATGCCCAACGGGATGAACGTACATGTCCAAGAGAGGGTCCCCTGGGGATGATGGTGACCTTGTGAAGGGGGTGTGCGTCCTTGGAGTAGTGTGCCACCAGGGCATGGCCCCCCTCGTGATAGGCCGTGATCAGGTTGGCCTCTTCGTCCGGGATGCGGGACTTGCGCTCCGGCCCTACCCATTGGGACATAAAAGACGACACAAACACAATTGAAAAAAAAATGGAATCAGACTAGAGGGCTATGTCTGAACCACCACTCGCTAACGCCTCTAAAGCAGAAGTTCTTACACTTTAGGCAGTGCAGAAGCCTACAGCCCCTGTAAACAGTAGTGCACATTACTAAAAGTGTTTGGCACGTAAGTAGTTGTGTATCAATGGGTGGTTCAGACCTGCTAAAATAGTGCTTAACCTTGGGAAAGCCTCTTCATCTCAGGGCAAAAAGAGTGAAACAAATGTGGGAGCCTCAGGAGCCCATGAGGGTGCTCTGGGGGAACCCAGGGTTCCAGGAACCCAGTTTGAGGACCCATGTTCTAAAACGGTCCCTTCGGCACAAATTTTGATGTTCTCTTTACACCTTTTTCAAACACTATATGCTAAACAAAATAGTGCAACGTTCTTGCCCACCTTTACACGTCATTATCTGTTCCTTCATACTTCGACAAGTGAGGACCTCTCTCTTTATCTTTGCACTACAAAGGTCATGAATAAAAAGGCACCACAGGATTCAAACTACTTGTTCTTTGTATGTGGCATATTTAACACCATTATCCCAACAAATTTATATCCTTTTGAAGCAAACCAATGCCAATTCACCAGATGACTGAACAAAATTAAGAGAATATAGTGCTTAACCTGGAAGGTCTCTATCTCGGGGCAAAAAAAGTAAAAGAAATTAGGGAGCCTAAGGAACCCATGAGGGTGCTCTGGAGAAACCCAGGGTTCCACGAACCCAGTTTGAGGAGCGAGATTAACGATATGTTCTAATTTGCTTTCGAACGAAGCCATCTGGTCAAGTAGAAACTATGCTTGCAGACAACTTTCTGTGGCTATGCAGTCAAAGCTACTTGTGCACCATGAGCACCGATCAAAGCTGCACACTTTTGAAATGCCAAAGAAAGTTGTACGGGAGCATGGCGAGTGCCACATAAGTGGGACGCGACCATACACGGCCTTCTGTGGCTAGTGATGAGGGAGGCCACGCACCCATCAGAACCTTGTCCCTGGCATTCTCGAGGTAGCTCATGGAGACGGCTTCGGCGGCATCGATGGCGGCCCGCAGCGCGGCCTGGTTCACCAGATTCTCGAGGTCGGCGCCCGTGAAGCCCGTGGTTCCCCGGGCCAGCATGTCCACCGAGACGTCATTGGCCATCTTGACCTTGCCCAGGTACAGCTGCAAGATCTCCTTGCGCCCCACCAGGTCCGGCACGGGCACCTGGACCTCCACGTCGAAGCGCCCCGGCCGCAGCAGCGCCCTGCGGGGAGCGCAGGTTGCCCAGTGCTCACGGGGAGCATCTACGAGCAAGTAGAAGTGCCCTGCCACTACTGTGCCTGAAACGCGTCCTTGACCGGTGTGTTCAGAGTCCTAACCCGCTCACACATCTGAGCTGGTCCCAAAGTGGCAACAAGTGATGTCGCAAGAACCAGAGTCTCATTTCGTCGTATGCTATGATCCTGGCAAAAAGTATGAGAAAATGCAAGTGTCGCTGTCGTCGCATAGTCCCGACTCCAGGCTGCCGAAGCTTTTGAGGACTTTCAAGCTGGAGAGCAACCCGCAGCAGGGCAGGCATCTGCCTCACCCACCATCGCTGCCGTTACGCTGTCAGGACAGCGGCAGGCGACAACACAAACTCTTAGGACGTCATCGGGCAGAAATCAAGGAACGTTCCTTTAGGACACGGTGAACACGAGATTCGGAGACGCGTTGCAGGCGCTGGTGCCAAGCAGCAATAGATCCTTTTCAAAGGGTCGTGCCATCTAGTACCTAACTGCTGCGCCAATTACTCGAGTTGGCCATTGTTTGGGCGCGTGCTCCGAGCATGTACTGGACCCGAGGGCTGCGTCGGTTGTTAACTCGGCTCGGTCTGTGCCAAGAACGAGTGCTGCATCAATGTTCGGTGAGGGCTCGGATCCAATCGCGTGCTTTGTGCCCAAGAAATGGCGACCACAAATATACCTTTATGGGGTTACAAAAAGAATCTAGAGCAGCACTATTCCAATTTTTCGATGATACAACGATGCAATTTAGCGACGTAGCGAAATCGGGGGTGAATTTGCCATGTAGGCACAGTCAAACCTTGCGAAAAGGTTAGGAAATTGTTTATGTTCTCAAACGACCAAGAGAGAAACAGGCATTAACATGACCAGTGCAAGCTTACTGAAAAACAAATGCCCGACAAACTAAAAGTAATTGTCTACATACTAACTTCATCGGACCTCACAAACTTTAGGGCATGCACATACGTCCACAACACTTGATTCACGAAAAAGGAGGACTAGAGAAAACGGTGACTTGAGAGTATATTATGCTAACTATGAGTAAGCTAGCCTATTCTTTGTAACAATGTTTGGATCCAGTACATCCACCTCAGGTATTAAAAATGACCTGCTTCCATACCTAAATATTGTGTTCAACTCGTGTGTACCAAGCATGTATACAGCAGTATGCTCAAGAGACGGTATCGGCAGCTAAATAGAACCCTTATGAGATAAATAAAGCCCTTACAAACAACTGGACAACATTTGAACTTCTGGAAAAAAGAGTGGCATTACAGCATAAGCACTGCATAAAGATTGTTCCTACTAAAAGAACTCTACCTCTGCTCAACTTATACAATACAATCAGATCACTTTTTATCAGTTCTAAATCCCATTTCATTGAAAGCAACCTAGCCTTATACACAATAAATGTAATGTTCTATTAGACGCCACGTTTGCACTCACTTGTCAAGGTCATCTCGACGGTTAGTCGCTCCAAGTACAATCACTCCTTCATTCTGCCTGAACCTAGATGGCACAAAGGAAGGAAGATCAAGAGTGAGAAAGGTCTTCAATCAAAGTCAGAATGAAACCAGAGCAAGGAGGAAGGTAGAAATCATACCCGTCCATCTCTGTGAGCAGCTGATTGATGGTCTGATTCGCATAAGGGTGCAGCACCGAGTTCGTTCGTTTTGCGCCGACGGAGTCGATTTCATCTATGAACACCACGCAGGGGGCCCGCATCTTGGCCGTACCTGAAAGCGACAAATTTGCTTTTTTTTCATTGGTTTTTCAATAACAAAACATTGAACAGTGCCACAGATCCAACTCAGGCACCACACTAATTTCAATATCCAATCTGTTATTCAAAGCTCCTGTTTATCAGTAGTATGTACTATACTCCTATGCAATTTGAACATTTTAGAATTACCACACACCTATAACAGTTTAAAGATGAGCAAGCTACATTCTTCTTGTGTCTCATGCACAGCAAACAAAATTTTCCAAAAACAGTTCCTCACAATGAAAAGAATTCATAAAAAACAATATTTTGAGGGACGTAACGAGAATTATTTGCCAATAGGGGAGAAATTTTCGAATTTAGTTACAATCCTTCGACAAACTCGAAATAAGGAAAATGATTCCCCCTACGGCATTAACGCTGATAAAACTCGAATTATGTTGTGTTGACCCAAATGTCAACGACTGCAGGATGCAGCCGCACTCGACAAGCAGCAAACTTCATCTAAAACAGTGCAAGCAAACATAGGTCAGCCTCACTCACTGAAAAGGTCCCTGACACGCCTGGCTCCCTGGCCCACCAAGATCTCGTCGAACTCGGGGCCCGCCGCGTGGAAGAAAGGCACGTTGGCCTCTCCAGCCACTGCGCGTGCCAGAAGGGTCTTGCCCGTCCCCGGGGGACCCACCAGAAGCACTCCTGCAGAGGGAACGCTTTCATTTCACACTGCTCTGCACCAACCACAGCAGCTTTGTTACGACATGAGCACATCTCTCAAGATCAAACATGCCCATCTTGTCAGTTTTTTTCTTGTTGTTTTTTAAAGGGCAAGACTTTACATGAATTTTATGAAGACAAACTTCAGCCCACAGACAACGATAAACAAGAAACTTCGTCGTTCAAACTGTGGCTTACTTACCCTTGGGCAGTTTGCCACCAAGAGAAGAGAACTTTTCTGGATTCCTCAGGAACTCCACGATCTCCTGAAGCTCCTGCTTAGCTTCGTCCACCTGAGGGATGAAGTGCAGTTTGAGATTGAAATCTCTTCGGAAGATTCCACTGCCGAAGCACTTACCCCCTTGACGTCGTCGAAAGTGACTTCAATGTCTTCGGGCAGGACCTCGTTCGTTGTGCCTATTAGCACTCGCCTGAAGGGGCCCCCTGGAACGAGGCACGGGCAATGCAGGACCTCTTCAAGGAGGCCATCCACACACACAGTCCGCAGAATGGACTGGATTTGGGGCTAACACCTTTCTATCGGCGAATCTCGGCGTACTGAATCTAGTAGCTTCTGTTGCTTTCCTCTTCTATTGATGTTCTAGTCTTACAAAGATTGTAGCGCAGTGTTGTAAACTAATGAGAGCGTAGCTCGAGTTTCCAGTGCTTGTTTTGCATGATAAATGGTTTATAGCAGAAGCAGTGTCAGTGCCATCTGCTCCCATAGCTCCAATCCTATCATGTGAAATCTCAACCCCCTCCATGTACATACAGTCGCCACCCGATTTTTCGGACGCCGATGATTCGGACTTGTTCAATATTTCAGACCTAAAGGAGGAACGTGACCTACCAGATCGAAATAGCACATATTTACGACCACTGTTTCGGACAGCTTGAAGTTCGAAAGTTGCATCTTTCAAACAAAATTGTCGCAAGTGATCAGCAGGAAACACTACAGAGGAGCCGTCATTTTAAATTTTATGTTGGCTGCACGTGATTGGCTTGGTTCTGCAGCACTACTTGGGTACTAAGTCCTACTACTAGGTGATGCGATGCTACTGCTTTTTCTTTCCTCAGCTGCGCGTCATTATTATCATTGTTACCGTTTTGCTTTGTTCATTCGCCATTCTGCAGTCGTGGACTTGCGCCTCTCGTCTCATCTCGATGAATCATGTTTTCGGACTACGCTGGCTTGGACGTCATGGCCCCATCTGTTCTCCCGACGCGACTAAGTGTCGCTTAGAAACGCAGGAAGTACTTGACCATAACGCTAGAAAAGAAGGCAGCGATTCTCAAGCTAATACAAAGTGGCCGAATGTAAGCGGAGGCATAACCTGAAGCAAGGAACACAGGCGTAACCTGAAGCAAGGAGCGCAGGCGTGACCTGAAGCAAGGCACTATTGACGACTTTTTTAAGCCCGCTTAGATGTAATGAGGGCAAGTCTTTAGGGGCGAAGCTCCTTAGGGTCTAGCCTTGTCCGTCCGGTGTCCGTGCTCACATAGATTGCACTGCCTCCAGGATCGGCCCACTTTAAAAAAAAAATGTACGCCCGCACGGGGGTTCAAACTCAGGACCCCTTGCTTATGAGGCAGACGTCTTAACCACTATGCTACACTCCAACTTTACATGTAACCACTCAACGTCTATACAGGAGAGGGTGCTATGGTCAAATGCATATATAATCGCGTTAAACTTTGCATGCATTGGCTCAACGTTTATAGACGAGAAGGCGCTGCGGTCAAATGCTCAACTGTGTATATAACCACAATCCATACCACACATTCTCTTTCTGACATGGACCGTTGACTTAAGCAGTGGAGATGCGTTCCCACGGCTTCTAGCGGATCCAAGCTGATCCGTTAGAAGAACCACTGGCTCTGCATTTCATCAATCATCATCAATCATCAATGTTTATTCACGTAAAGATGTACAAAGAAATGTCTGATTAGTCATCTGGATCCATAGCCTACATTCACCGACCATAAAGCAGTAATAATGAAGTCGAAACGCTACCTATGAGCAATAAACTCAGCGTTACCTATAAGCAATAAAAAAGAAATCAGCACCATCAGCACTACCTACGAACAATAAAATCAGCATCATCAGCTTTACGAGAGCTTCGCCCCAATCAACATCATTCACCACGTGGAGATGCGGCCTCTTTTTGATGTGCCGATATTTCAGACTGCTCTTCTACTCGGACGTTTTTTTGGTCCCTGCGAAGTCCGAAAAATCGGTCGGCGACTGTACTACATTTATTAATCCTTACTTCTAACTTCTAAGCATTGTCAAGCAAGGAATCACATATGTTTGTGGCAGGCTGCAGAAAACACAATTTTCCTTAAGCTAAAAACGAAAACATCAAATGTTTAAAAAAAATAAAGTAATCCACATTCTTAGATAGTAACTACTATCAATATTTCCCTTCAATTTCTTTTTATGTTCCTAAGAAATAAAAAATAACAAAACAAGTCAATGTACATTAATAAAATTTGAAGACACTCGCTCCAACAAAGCAAACAAAACTATAGGTCATTGCCTAAAAAAAGCACAAAGTTCAATAACTTTGTTTCAAAGGTAAATCTAGCATAAATAGACATCACCAAATAATTGTAGATGAAAACTTGCATTTTCTGCCACTTGGTAAATTTCGTAGCATCAGAGAATGGATAATTGGGCAAGTTGGTACGCATTCATCTTGAAATAGCACAACTAGACATGAATGAAGAGTTCATATCTAGCAGACACTTTGTCCATGCAGCATTCATGTCGCCCAGACTCTCAGTTCATTCATGCCTATATTCCGTCTCACTAAAACCGTGCAGCACAGCCAAAGCCACAGGGGAGAGTGTGTCCCAACCTCCAGCCTTTCTCCTGTTCCTCTTTTCCCTCCTCTTGAAAAGGTAGGGACACACTCTCTCCCCTGTGGCTTTGGCTGTACTGCACGGTTTTAGTGAGACGGAGTGGGGGTGGCACTGTTTCAAGAGGTGTCTGTAGAACAGTCCACCTAATCCAATCACTGCTTTTCACGGAAATGAGTAAATTACACTATCTCAGCTACAGAGCTAAAATATTTACATTTTCGTTTGGTTAAGCACATCAACAAGGGCTCTTCAATCTGCTTGTAAGCAGAACAGCACCAAACGCAGCAAAGCACCTTTTCAAAAGTACCATCATAGAAAATGAGAAATGAAAAAACGAGTGTCCTGGTACCAGAAAGCTCACCCATGAAGGAGAAAAGGATGGCCAGAATCAGGATGATGCCCAGCAGGTCTCGAAAGATGTTGAAAATGCGCAGCTTTGTGTTGGGGCGTGTTTTGGGGTCAGATGCCAGGTAGCCTTCGGCAAATGCCACCTTTGGAGAGAAGCAGTCGTTTCAAAACCCAGACAAAAGATGGTAGTTCCGACGTCTCTTCCACTAGAAAAAGCCCAGGGTTCAGCACTGCAGTAAAACCTAGTTAGAGAGGGCCACACTGTTGTGCGAAAAGACTGTCGGTAACTCATCAAAAGATCTCCGACACTCACACATACTACTAGTAAGCCTTGTGTATAAAGGACAACGCCTAGGACGACCTCGGGGACGACGCCCAGGACAACTCCAAGGTTGACGTCTAGGACGACCTTAGGGACGACGTCTAGGATGACTTCAAGGACGACGTCTAGGATAACCTCGGGGACAACGTCTAGGACGACCTCAAGGATGACTTCTAGGACAACCTCTCGGATGACCCTCTCAGGCGACCCCTAGACGTTGTAAAAATAACAGCTTCACTGGTCCTCCATCTTCACGTAAAGTAAAAGGGCTCTACAATTTTTCTATTTTTTTTTTGGGGATTCTCAATTTTCTGTTATTCAGGCTGATTTCACTGCAAGTCTAATTTTTTTAGTAAAAGTAAAGAATATCTTGACACATAAAAACTCACCTCTATCAAATGATATTTTCTATGCTGCATTTGGCATTATGGCTTCGAAATTCAGAGGTTTTCAGATAAATACAAATTAGCGAAAATTTTACCAACGACTGTTTATCGGAGTTTTCCGGATTTATCCGAAAACATAAAATCCTACTTATAACGCTTCGTGCTTATCATACGTGACAGTGCTTCCAAACGGACAACAAATTCGAACACGGGTCAAAGTTTTTGGTTTCCTATTATCCTGTTCTTTTGCTTTGTGTGATGCCAAAAATTGTTCTCAAGCAAACTGTTTCCACCACAAGAGGAGCAAACTCCTCAAGCTTCAATTGTAAGACTTGACTGATAACAACCGCCAGCATAGTTTCGAACACTGCCGTCCAGTTCTGAGGTGAATAGAACGAACACATGGTGACAATAAGTAGTGACCAATTAACTGACCTAAATGTCACATCACTGTCCTCAAAGGTCGCTGATTCCCTGATTCGAGACTTCAGAGGTGTTTGATTCTAGATAGTATTACACACCCAGCAAACATCCAAGGGAGAATTTCAACATACTAGTCTTAGGTTAGAGAAGAACTCTCCAGGTATCACTGCATTTTGGTTTTGACTGATTATGAATTTTTGACACCAGCTGCTGTTTGTCAGGGTTTATCCGGGGCCTAGCTATATATCCCACGATCATTAAAATATTGCTCCACATTACATATGCCAACATCCCACAGTAGTTGAAAAAAAAAAAGAGACAAACTTACTCTGAGCCTCTGCTGCTCTTCACTGGTGAGATTCTCATCTGTCAAAAGCGATTTGAGTTTTTCATTCTGCTCCACTTCTGTGTAGACTTTTTGCTTGTCCTGTTAAATGAAGTAAGGACAACTTCAAACAAAGAAGCAGTTGGCTATGGCGGTTTTTCAAATGAATTGACCACAGTCCAAACAAGCTATAGTCGGTTACAAGTCAAGAAGGTAGGAGAAGCTCCTCCCACAAGTGTGATGCGCCCGTTTCAAATCTCTCCGCAGTCGAAAGAAGAGTTCACTGGAAACACTCCTTGTTCCGCTTCAATGGATTCCCACTTGTCTCCGATCCCACTTTTTAAGAAAGCGACCTTTGTATTCATCGGAGAGGGAACCGAGCCCCTGAAAGCAGCCTTTGTATCCATCGGGGGGGAAGCTAATCCCCGAAAGTCGTATTTGTTTCCGTCGGTGGGGGAGAACTCTAATCTCCCTCTCGTGGCTTCCACAATGCTAAGTCAAAGTCGAAAGATAAAGCAAATATGTACAGAAAGGCAAGACCCTCCTCGCGCGTTGTCCGCGACGTCACGGAAACAGTGGGACGCTACTGGATGCAAAGGTGGCGGAGGGATATCTGATTCCCTTTGAGGGGCATTTGCCGCTACCTTCTTAACCTGTAACTGACTAAAGCAACACCGTAAAATCCCGACTGAACGCCCAACCCCGAGACCACCCATCCCGTCTGTCTCGCAAAAAACTTTGCAGGTGAGAAATGCTGAAACGTTTTCCACTTGAAACTTCACAGGACGTTTGACATTACTTCGCGTGAAACCATGCTGTCACGTGGCAATAGTGATTCATTTTAACCGCTGTTTTCCACTCCTGCAATGGCCTCAACTGAGGTTGAAATATGCACAAATAAATGGCGTCATGGGACACTGGGACGGCTTTATGTATTTGTAAAGCCCTCGCAATGTGCCCTTCAGAGGCCTCCTTACTATGCCTCCAAAAGGAAGAGCATGAAGAAGCCCCATAAATGGCATGCATTCAGAGTGCCTTCGGGAAATGCCAAAAGGACGGCCTATCTTTTAATCTGAAGTTCATTTAACTTGGAGCATTTCACTGTCTTCATGAACTTTGAATTATTGAGAGTCGATAGTAGAGGTACTCATTTGCGTGCACCGACCACCAGCATGCTTCCAGGAAAAAGCACCCCAGAACGTGAGTTTACAGTTTCCAAGATCTGTAGTATAGGTCCTCATCACAAGAGTTTGTGGCAGGTTACAAAATCTGCGGTATCTGTTTCTGCAACCTGCGAGTTTGTACCGGTTTATCACACCGTGAAACAGGAACCCTTGCAGGGTCTACAATCTGCGGTATTGGCTCCTGTGTCATGTGGGTTCCTAGCGGGTTCCGCCACCTTTATCTCTCATTTTTTATTTGCCGTTGCATGCCCGAATATCGCCCACCTGATCCTTTCCAACATTTATCTCTTCACCAGGGGTGCATGTTCAACCGGGATTTCATGGTAATTTTGCAGTGGCAATGCCAAGCTACTTTTCTGACTCTAGAAGCGAGATTGTAGATAAAAGATTGCACATTCACCTTGTCCTTCCTTGTGCGAAGTGCCAGGAATCTCTCGTTGAGGTCTGGAGCTTTCAAGCTAAGAGCAGAGGCGGAATCCATAGTCCTGGGACTCTTCGTCTTGAAGCCCCGGACCTGATGTACTTGCACTTGAAATAAATTGGAATGCGCGACGTGAGCTCCTGTAACCTGCATTGCTTCCAATACACCGCCAACACATCACCAACAATGCACTTGCTCCAATGCTGCAGAGAGCCTTCACTCATGAGCAAGCTTGACCGAAACCCTTTTCTCATGTTGTTCCTAAACACAATTTTCTCATCTACAAACGAGACACCAGATGCATATGCTTTACCGAAGCTTCAATGTTACCTTGGTGAGAAGGTAACTATAGTGCTGTCATGATATTGTGCAAGGGTTATGCTGAATTAAAGCGACGACAGTCTACAAAAGTCAACACATCCTTTGTTAATGCAAGCAGACTAAAGACACCATGTGTGCAAGCGCGTCAGCCTTACAGACTGCCTTTCCAGGGCACAAGCACTTGCAAATATTGAGTGTATGAACTAATGCTGGCAGCCTTTGCTTACGTCAAGTCAAAACAAAGCATGCCCTCAAATTCAAAACTGTCCTGGGCAGTGCTCCGGACGGTATTTTTGAACAGACCTTAAAGGGGCCCTGCAATCACATTTAAGCGTCTACCTTTTTTGAGGTTTCCACATCCCCTGAGGTTTGGGCAAGCCAGCGGGCAAGGAGAGAGTAACTACCTAAATATCAGTGCATCATATTTTAACCGGACGACACGGAAAACTCCTCCACCTACGAGGGCGATTCGCGGTACCGAAAGCGCAAGATATGTGACGTTTTTGGTCCTGGCCTTACTACTGATCAGAGCTGCTAAAAGCTTTTTTTAGTCGAAACACAAAATATAAGTGGCGCGAATCATTTCGATTATTAATGAAAGTAGTTTTTGCTCAGTAATTTAGATCAGAAAAGAAACAAATGCAGTTTATAAAGTATAGAAACAAGAAATTACCCGTCAACATACCCGCCACCAAGCGGTGGAAAACGCGGCGCATGCTAGAAAGGGGCAGTGGGATCAGGCACCAACAAGTGGTGAGCGTAAAAAAATCCCGGATGTATGCGGCGGGCTGCAGTCGAGTATTTGACTGGTTAGCGTTCTGAAGGCCTTCGGCTGCTTCGGCGAGCAGGTTTAGCGGTATGACAGAGCGAAGTGGCTCCCGTTCTGACTGATCTTTACCCCGTGTTTGGTGTCGTTTGTGGCCAATGAAGTGTCATGCCGAATTAGTGTTTAATCACGCAGCAAATGCAATGCGAGCCGCCCTGGTCGCCCACTTCATACAGCCTATCCTGCACATGCTTTAGTGGCGCCCTTTTAAGCCGTTGACACAGAGTGCGGCAGCCGTGAGCACTCGCTGAGCTCACTACCCCTCCCCTAGTTCACGGCCACTCAAGCGACCAAGGACGTCATGAGGGAGGTTATTTTTTGCTTGTTTTTGTAACTTTAATTTGCCTATAACTTTTACAATAAAGCAAAATTCAAGAAAAGTTTCATTACGTTACTACGTTCAGTGCGCTCAGGTTCTGTGCAAATTAAAAACCAGTAAAAAAGTCCTTGCAGGGCCCCTTTAAGTAACTCAGGATGAACGAAAGTGGAACTATTGGACTTTTGCCTTGTCTTTCCAGTATGTTGTGTCTCTAGCCCTTCAAAGCAGATCTGTCCAGCAACCAGAGTAAGTTTGCCACGAGGCAAACTTTTCATTCAAACCAAAGTGCATTAAACCATTTAATTATTTTAATATATTCTCTGCAGAATGGCCATTATAGTTATTCGGAGCCCCAATAAGTAAAAAAACGAATATGTAAAAATCCCACGAAGAAGTTAAAAACCTTTCTACCTTGACTGTTCCATACATGTAAAAGACATACTGTGCCTGTCGACACCTTTTCAAGCTCAATCCAGTGCCAATAAACAAGTCAAACTTGTTCATGCCAAGGTAATTCTGTATGCAGAATTAGTAAAAGCATCTGCATATCAACCTTTAATATTAGTAGAACCTTGCTCCAATGTACACAAAATTTTGAAATTTAGAAAAGGTACTTTCAGTTAAAGGGTGCTGTTTGTGAGCTTAACCTAACAAACCAGGACGTTATATATTCCCAGTCTCTTTTAGGATTTAAAGGATGCCACACTTTCATCCCCTAATAAGACATTTTCTGGAAAAACCCAATGCTCACTTATTGCTTTAATGTAAATGTGTTATAGGGCTGGCTTTGGAAATACAGTAATCCCTCGTTATAACAAAGTCAATGTGACAGCAAAAATATTTGATAAAAGCGATAGAGTCGTAAAAACTGCGCCAGCAGCCTTGAAGGTGGACGGGAACACTGTGGAACACCCTGACTGTATATTTAATCAAACAAACCTTGGTTATAAACAACTCACAGAAGCTTTACCAAGAAAAAGAATATATTGAGTGGAATTTGCCAATAATTTCATCCAGGAATCAGTTCTCTTCAAACTGTTCCAGGCATAGCAAGATCACCGTCACCGCCGCTGCACTCCACTTTGTTCCGAAGCAGCTGCAGGATGTTTTGTGTCTCCGCAGTCATCGGCATTTCCCGAGGTGCGTCTTTGAAATTGCTTTGTGTTTATCCTGGTCGCACGCAACGACTACGATCACAGCACCCGTGGCACGAGCAACAACAGAAACGTCTGCATCGACAAGCACGAGTGAATCCAAGTTATCCTTGGTAGCTTCGGCAGCGTGTTTTCACAAACTCCTGCAGGGATCATTGCAGCTCTGGGAATGGTGCGCTGGCGCGGCAAGCATGCTTCGGGTTGTGGGCACGCTTTTTCATGCATGACAAACTTCTCAATCTCGTCCGGTATGCCTTGCTTGTTCTGCAAAATGGTGGACAGCGTCAAACAGCCGATGCCGGAATGTCGAATCCTTTGGAGATTTCGGACTTGGGACGGCCACTTTTCTGAACCTCGTAGATGTAAGCGACTTTCGGTAAACGCTCCCACTCTCCCATACAACGCACGTGTGTGTGTAGTACGGCATAAGCGCACCCACACAGACGCGCGCATTGGGTGCTCCCGAAAGGACGATCTCCGGGCTCCATCGCCCCCTTGACCTGATCCTAAGGGCAGCGTCGGCCGCGGACGCTGTGGGTAGCGTCAGAAAGTGGACGCTGCTCTTGTTGCTACCTGCCAGCGTTGGTCCATCGGCATCAGAAGCAGCAGTCAGCGTTCCATCACCCGTCTGCTCCGTTTCGTTGTTTGCTGTTTGCCTCGGTGGAGAAGGAAAAAGGAATGCGAGGGCCTCCATGCGCCTCCGTGTAGGCTCGCGTGCTTCTGGCATCCCGGCCTTTGTAATAAGCATGGTCGGCCACCGATACACTTCGGATAACCCGATTCAAAATGAGTGCAGTTCGGTCAGGACCACGTTGAACTTCGATAAAAGCGATAATTCGAATTAAGCGATTTCGTTATAACGAGAGAGTGCTGTATATTTATTACAAAAAAATACAAATTGGTAAATTTAGCGGAAAAGTTTTCGACCAAAATATTGTTTTTTGGCTCAGTCCATATATATGTGTGTGCAAATTTAAGACGATTAACAAACACACACTTACGCACATAAACACCGACTGAGGAAAAACACATTCTGCATATTTCTGACTTAATAAAAAAGGATTAAGGCAGTGGTTCTCAAATGGGGGTCACGAAGGCCTCCTATGGGTCGTCGAAGCCCCTGACCATCAGTCAGGCTAAACAATAAACATTTGTTTTTTATTATTATTGATGCTGGGTGTCTCAAGAAGGTATAGACTGAGTAGGGTTGATTATTCTCCGTTTTCAGAGCTTCAAGTTTTGGTTTTCACGCATTCAGTTTTCTTTATTTACCTTTTTCTGTCATTGTAATCATTCCTTTCCCCCGGTAGATGGGGTCCCCCATCACTTCTGCCGATCCAGAAGTCCCCGAAATATCACTGGTTGAGAACCACTGAATTGATAGGTTAAGAATTTTTCCCTTAATTAGCGCCCATCAGTCTGCAGAGATCACCGATGCCATCATGGGACTTCAATGTGGAGCCCAAGTTCGTCTGCTTCTTGCATTAGCGGTTGCGACGACGTCAGAACGCCCAGCTCTTATTGGCCAGTTAAAGGAAATAGTGAGTAGACCTCAAGGCCTCTAGCATTGAGGTCTACCATTATCCTTTCAGCAAAAGCCAATCAGGGCTCGGCGTCATTCTGACATCTTCGCAACTCCTGTGCAAGAAGAACTTGACTTGCTCTCTGCATAGTGACACTTCATTTGTTTAAAAATTTACAAAATATATTTAAACGAAACTGAACTGTACGGACCAGTTTCCTTGAGGTGATGCGGCAAGTGAACGGCTGACAGCCGGAGATAAAGTCGGCTTTGGATACTTACGTGGCCTCATCAGTGGCGAGAAGAGATTGGAGGAATGAGCACTCAGAAACAAGCAGGACAAAAGAGGGGCCCCAGTCCTTAGCTGGTCTTTGGAAAAACCTGAGGAGAAAGGTGAGATTTGTTTCCATCACACTTTGAAGAGCTATAACACACTACTTGACCTACTGGTAATTTCATATCCGGGCACAAAGTAACAGCTAACGTTACTCATAGACGCAAAAATAGTCATACGGTTGCTAACCTAATTGTTTGGTCATATCCGTCCTCGAGGTAACCCACCCCTGCAGAGTACTTGGCGTACTCAGTACTCCTTTCATTTATACTGAGTCAGAGTCACACAACACACCAACACATCTCTCTCACGTCACGAAGCGGAGATAGAGCTTTGTCCGCATTTCCAGTCTGGGGTGTGGGCACAAAACACCTGTCGAGCCAGGCATCACTATGTTGTTTTTGCAGAAACCAGCAAAAACCCGCCTTTTTGTCAAAACGCCGAGGAGTTGTGTAGACTGGGTGCGGCGGCGAAAGAGTTGGGCAAGGCATAAAGACAGTGACATAGCCACGATTTTATTTCGGGAAAGGGAGGGGGGGGGTAGGGGGGTGGGGGTTCAATGGCATGAATCCTCCACTCCCCTCCCTCCAACCGCCCCCCATTACGAAGCAGGGTGACCTCGGCAGTATGGATGCTCACGCAAAGATTAGCGAGGTGTTGTTAAGATAAAACGGGCATTGCTGCATTGTCATTTTTGAAAACGGAGCAGGCTTCATTTACAGGAATACAGGTGTGGTGGCTCACTGTTCTTCTCTGGTTGTAGTTGCAGCCCACCAACTTTTAAAAGGTTCCTCGCAGCACACAACTCACCCCTCCCCCTTCAGCTTTTTGAAGTAGCACTGCATTACCAACGTGTGAAGGCCAGAGAAAACACAAGGATGGCTATAGAGTATAGACCAGTGTTTGCTCTGTTCCATGGGCACCGCCATGTTCGTTTATGCTGACACAATGACACGGTAAAGGGGGCAAGGGGGGGCTGCAGTTTTTGCAAGAATTCTTCTTTTTTTTTAGATACCTTCGCACATATCGTAGTGCAAGAGCGTCGGAAAGGCATAATCACGAAGCTCCAAGAACAACACCAATGCCAAGAGTGCTGTAAAGAGCAAAAACCTTGTTTTATGCGCAGCCCCTCTCTTCAAAAGAGCCTGTGCTTCAGATTATTATTTCACAATCCTATCGCTGGAGGCTAGGACTTCGGACACTGGTCTATAGGCAACCTGCAATGCTGTTTGGTTGGGCGCTATCTAGCGACTGAAGCAAGAAATACTGGGTAGGCCAGGAAGCCGCAATCGCATAACATGCAAATACATCGGAAGCTGCAGCCTGGCGGGCCCATCGGGACGTGACTATGCATCACCGGAGTGCGCTTTTACGCCGAAGAAGTATCAGGCCTTCCGCTGCATCATGCTCCAATATGTGTGCGTTGCGCTCATATACGTAGCAGATGTCAAAGCAGTCGGCACGCAATGGGAGGCTTATTGTTTACCCTTTGCCAGGTTACACCTAAGCAGGGTATAACCTTGGGCTCTCACTCTACCGGTGTCGCCTGGCTGTTACCGGCAGGCTATATTGTCACAAAAAATTAAGCAGCAAAAAAAAGAGAAAAAATCATGACGCTGAACATTTGGTGCAACCGTCCTCGCACAAACACTAGGGGCCCATATATATGGCGAGGGCAATTCTGAACAATCACAAAACCAAAATCTATTAAAGGTTTAACAAATTCTTGCTACAGAACATGATGCCGAAGGAAAGAGTCATTTTTGCTAGGCCGCTTTATCTAGCAGTGTGGTCCAAAGGCAGCAGCGGCATATCCTCGGCGCGATGAGAAGTCGTCAGTCCGAATTCGTTGTTCCGTCACTTGGAGAAATGACGTCACACACAAACACGCAAACATACTCGCCAAACGTGGAAACGAACTCCAATGTCCTTGCGCCTATGCGTAGTGAGAACATGAAGGCTCTTGGGAGTTTCTGATGTTCCGTGCAACAAAAAGATTGATCTAATAACGAATTGGATCGGATGCCACCTCGACATGCAAAAGCAGAAAGCAAGACGGACTTCATTGCATCCGTGAGCGACCATCGAGACGGGTGTCTCGATGGAGAAAAATTTCATGAGGTGAGGGAAACTTCGCCAAAAATAGGGAAATTTTAGATGTCCAATAAAAGAGGGAGAAACATGAAATGCCCGTCACGTCTGCGCAACAGGCGGTCGCCCTTTGTCCAGAGGCTCTATTCCCAAAACGTCTGTTATCTCCTCAAGATCCTAGAGACTCTGCACGTAACAACGGCGGAAGCTGAGCACTCATTCTTTTCACTAGAACGGTTGAAAACATACCTGAGAGTGTCCACTTCCAATGAGCGACTGCTCGGTCTAATGCTTTTGAATGTTCACCACGACATTGAAGTTCAAGTGATGGACATCCTGGATATTCTTTGCCGTGAACGCAGGTGAGTGAATCTTAATATGTAGGCACTTGGCATAAATGAAATCATCAAGAGAGCCTGTAAATTGCTTTCTGAGATAACTATACTTCGTTTCAGCTTCCGTCCGAGCGCAGCCAAAGGCTGTGGGACGGTTCGCAACTTTGAGAAGAGCATTCCTACGCACCACAAAGTAGTTCACAAAAGTAATTTCTTTTAAAGTAACTGTTTTGTGCGTACAAACTGCACAATGTTCCAGATGTGTACTGCTGAGAAAGATTTGCAACAAAAGGAATCAAAACTCTAAAGTTTACGTTTTTATTACTATATGTAAATGCATGTGGTTTGGTGAAAACATGTATATCCGTTGGCAACACGGCTGCAGCGCGCGGTTTTTCTGTGTGATTTCGTTCCCGTAATCGCCCAATCATGTGCTTCGCTGCTTTCCTCACCGAGTCGCTTCAAAACGCCCTTTCGCAAAGGCACGTTTAGGCGTCAGGCCCGAGAAGTCCTGACGAATGTCTACTTTCGAATTCGGCTGGAGACTCCGGCCGCGTCGCACCGCGAATGCGTTGTAAACAAGCAAAGCGTCCGGGCCACTACAATTCCCTGATACGCGGCGAAATCAGGGCACCCCTTTACCTGCCGATCACATTGAACGCCGAGAAGCTGGTGGAAAGGACTGCGCCTTGAGCCCTGGTGTATCCAAACAATACAAGGATACATCAACGGCCGGTCATCGGGGACCTTGCAATGTGTACTTAGAACTCGAAACTATGCCGAACAGGTGGAAAGCTCGGACACAGATGCCAGCGGCCAGCCTACGTACTGACATCCCCTGTGACTAAGTTTCAGAACGTGAAAGGGCACGTTTTAAACCTGTAGCAGACGGTATCGTTGATACACCCGTAGCAGACGAAATACTCGGCGAGCGCGGGCGGCGCGGCCGACCGGCGGCGCAGCGGAGTGATACGAAAGTGCAGGCGAGATCGCGTGACCTACTGCCGGCGTGTGATTGGCTCCGGCCACACGTAGCTTTGGCTGCGCTCGGACGGAAGCTGAAACGAAGTATAGTCACAGTTACTTTTTATTTGCAGTAATTTCTAGTTGAAAGCACGTAATTCTGATCAGTACACAAGGTGTGCATGAGCGCAGTGCCAACCGTTTCTTACAGTGCAATTGTTTTTACAATTCATTTAATATTCCTTACATCACCAACATGTTTTACATTATCACCAAGTGTGCATTTTCTTATTGTCCCCTTTAGTTTGATTTAGCTATGTATTGTAGTGAGGATAGTTTGTTGTACTTTGCCTTTAACTTGCCATCCTTCACCCCACAAATGTTTCGAAATTTCCATTCTCTATATATCTCAGATCAAGTTCCACACCCTATCAAATAAGCATGAATGAAGAAATATTGATTATTTCATTTATTTGAGCATCTTCTACCCCACAAACATTCCTCCCGAAAGCATATAAGTTAGAGATAGTCCGCGCTCCAGCTTTGCTCTGTGCCCCGTGCAAGACCGTCTGCGTGAGCAGGGTAGCGAGCGGGCCCACTGGGGGGGGGGGGGGGGGGCAGCTTTGGCATTTTAGGGGGGTTTTTGACCCGCAAACCCCCCCCCCCCCCCTTGCCTATGCCACTGCGTAAAGATAAGTTTTCTCGTGTTTCCTGACTCCATGGCCTGTCCAAGAAAGTGGAAGGGCACCTCAAAAAGGAAAAACCAGGCACTTCTTGCCCACATTTCATTGCACTTCCGTAGCGCCGCTGATGGTGCACTGGATCGCTAACAAACATGAGTTGGTCTTTATTTGCGGAATATTAAAATTCCTCAACCTTCGATGCCGTTGACAGCTCCACCGTCAAACTGGCATTAAAATTGAACCATTCACTGCTGCACACTGGATGTGTTTAGCACATCTCGGCACTCACTTTTGTAAAGTTGAGAGATTAAGGACTTTTTCAGGACTTGCCCCACAAACAATTATAAACTGCAGAAAAAAAGAAAAGAGAAAGAAAGCCAATCCCAAGAGGTTTGTTGCTTTGAAGTGTGTGTACGCCCACCTCAGTAATACATTAGCAAAATGTTATACTAGACAGCACTTGGTTCACTGCCAGTGTACAAGAACAAATATGATAACTACACTGTTGTCAGCACTCTGTGAGCTTAGCGCCCCTAAACTGATGTTAGCAAGAAGTTTAATTTTAGAGCTGTTACCTCATATCATGTGACAAGATGTCAGAAGTCATAAAGGCATGAATGCAGTATTTTGAGCCTTTTAGGTCAAAATTAACAAAACCAATTCCAAAAGCTATGTATGTGCATTATTGGTGCCTTTGGCAACCTGATCAATGATTGTGGTGCATAGGGTAGAACTTTTCACTTTCTCAGTTCTTTCACCCTCCTAGCCCTTCTTTTTTTTTTTTTGAAAAGGCAGTTTTTATGATTGCAAACCCAAAGCTTTCAGAGATTGTACAAACCCTCAGAGGAATAACTTTCAAGCTACAAGTTTATGAATGGATGGAGTGCAACAAAGCTGGGCCTGCTGTGGCACTAACTAACAAGGTAGCAAATATTAAATCTGATTTTCATACACTTACGGAATCGAATGAAAGAGCCTATATACCAGGAAAATACCTGACAAATTGTGATGCACAGAATACGCTTTTGGGTCGTTAAATCTGGGTGCAATCACTTTTGTAACAAGACTTGTGGCATGACCTCAGACAAGAATGCAATTGGTTGTTGCCGTGATCACATGATTGCTTACGTCCAACAATGAGGATGAGGCGCCATCTGTCCCATGACGTTTTCATCTGACATTACAGTGTCATTTGGCGAGCCTACAGTCGTAACACTGTAGTGTCTAGCTTTTGACTATCACATTTTCAGTCACCCCCACCGAAAATGTATTCTATGTCTGCAAGTCAAAATCTCACCCTCAACAAAAAGAGCACAGTCTGCTCATTCTCATTTGCAGCAATGCAAGTACCACTTGAGTACTATGGTAAAAAAAATGATTCTACTCCCAAATATCTGGGTTACACATTTTCCTTTAATGCTGATCCCACTTCTAAACATAAAACTTGACATCAGGCTGCAGCCCTAACAATGCAAAAACGCAGCAAAAGTTTAAAATAAAACTCCTGGAATCCTTAGACTGAGAGGCAATATTTTTCTAAGAGAACCTGAAGGAGTCAAGTCCCCTAGCAAAACATTGGACGAGTCGATTGCGCTCCACTCGAACTATACAACGTTCCAGGGGCTGGCACCCATGCACCACAGAGACCTCGTTTTCTGGCTCTGTGCAGTTTCGATTTATGTTCGAACTATGCCTGAAAGTGCCTGTTCTCCACATCAAGACCTTAACAGACAATTTGTTTACCTAGTAAAACAAAAAAAAAGGTTAGTTTTTTCTGGGTGTCGCTAATATAACAATAAGGGTACTTGCCATGCTTGTTCTCAAAGAAGCTGTCGGCAGACTTGTATGAAACGGACCAGGCAGCCCCTCGTTTTTGGCTGTGCACTCTGCCCGACAGTGCCAGGTCTCTGAGAGCCAGTTCAATTGTTGGAAGACAGGTCAACTCCTGCAAGCACGACTTGGGAAGCCATGACAGCACCTGCAAGAATATTTTTAAAATCTTGCGTCAGGACGAATAGAGGAAAGAGCCAATGCCACATACCCGATCATCATTTCACATTCCATGGAAAAATGCCAACATGGGACCCAATCAAACTAACTCATCAATACCTGGATCACAGGGTCACTGGCTAGATCCCATCACAAGCAGAGGCAGACATAAGGGTGTTTACCAAAACAATGTTTTTAAATGCACCAACTTTTTGGTTTTTCCCGACTATTCTATCAAAATTCCCCCCGAACGATTCCTAAAGGAATGTCTAAACAGGATACTTCAGAATGTGCAAAGCGAAACTCCTTTGCCATATAAAGTGAAGGTTTAAGCTTAGCAATCCGCCTCCTTTTTGGACATCCAACAGGCAAATGTCGCGGCTTTCATCCTCGACTTTTCTGCGACGTTGGTGCTTGACAGACTTCACATCACATGCGATCTGCCAAAGGTGTGCCTGTCCCTCTGTTCTGCCATGCCTCATTTCCTAGCCTTTCCCATTTTCGGGACTTGAACAGCAGGCGAGGCCTTGAGTAACTGATTGACAGCCAACAAAGCGTGGGTGAGTGACTGTCCGGACCCATGTGATGAACATGCCCTAGGCCTCAGTGAAAGACATAAGCAGACGTTGGCAGGGGGAAACTTACCCCCCCCCCCCCCCCTTCCCCACTCCAGCAAAAAAAAAAAAGACAGAAGCGAACCGCCGCATTTCGTATGGCAGAGAAGTGTCGCTTCACAAGTTCTTGAAGTGTCTTGTTTGGACAGCCCTTAAAAGAACACTAATTACCCCTCAAAAATGTTGTTTTTAATTTTGACAGGCATTTAATATGGTGTCAGGAGACTACCTCATCAATATTTTGCTGCAGAGTCACATATATTTTTAATAAAGCCAAAAAAACTCAACTGCTCGAAATCAAAACCGAAGCACCAGTATGGAAACTCGTAGCAGGAAATCGTGTAACTATACCTGACCACTTTTTTTTTTTTTTCTCAGTTTCTTTGGCTTTTGAAGCTGACAACGTTGAACTCGCATGAATAGCTTGTAGTGCGATTGTCTCACACTTTTATCCCTTCCGCTCGATGTTATGCGCTTGAAGATCGATTGGCCGGTGCCACGAAAGACAGTTCCAAAGTAGCGGCCCCATGTCCGTCGCAACGTTAATCTGTCGTGCAGCGCCACTGCGTCGTCCAACCAGCAGTACGTCACCACACTGAGAGTGACATGTACATGTACTACCTGTAATTTGTGCAATATTTTTTTTTTTTTTTTTCGATCAACATATTTGCAGCTTTTTAGAGGCCACAAAAAATGAGGCTCATATTCTTCCCTATTTTTAATATTCAATGTCTGTTTTAGATAACCCATCACTTTGAATATATTTGGAACACATAGTTTGAATGCCACGTGACCATGGAAATGAGTCAGCACGACTGAAACCGGCCAGTTCTCGACCGGCTGTTTTTGGGCGGAAAGAAAACAAATTTTGAGCTGCAAATTGTGTTCTAGGTAGTTGGGCTCTTTCTCATAGGTCATGTTCAAATAAAAAAAACCTCGGTGAACATAAATACCCCGTCAGTGTCTCTTTAAGAAAACAGAGGACATGTACGAAGTGCATTTTTTTAAGTGAAAACACTGGTATACCTGACAGATGGCAGGACGGCGACAAAAAACTGAATCATCTTACCTTGAAAGTCATTCATAAACCACAGGGCAAACTTATCTTCTTTACACCTCAAGACTATTTTAAAGTTATAGCAGGCCCTCGGCAGCATGCCTTCACTACAGTGTCATTCATTCAAAGTGAACAAGAAACATTCCACCATTTAAAAGGTGCATCAAACATAAATTCCTGGTGACAGATTGCATAAAAAAAATTAAGAGCTGAGATTGATTAGAAATGCGATAATGTTAAAGTTTGGTGAAGCTATTGAGGTTCCATGTAACTCCACCCGTTATGTTTCACTATATCAGGGAGTTTATCTCTAATTGAGTAAAGGAGGCATGTGACTTCACCTCTATGAGACATCTTCATTACTTACCTTGAACCACACACGAGTCGTTTGCTGCCGGTCAAAGAAAGGAAAGCTCAATTTCTCTGACCAATGCTAACTAAGATGGACATTTCCTGACTTTTCTATACTATGTTTCACCTTATGATGTACCGCAGGAAAGGCTACAAGCACGAGCTCCTTGCTCTAGAGCACATCTCGGCGGCACAAGCTCGCGTGCATTAAGGGCAGCTGCCAACCCAATGAGCTCGCGCTTCTAGCCTTCTTTGCGGTACAACATATGGTGAAACGGAGTATAGACTCGTCATAATCCCCGACCATTCCCGGTCTTTCATATTGGTAGACACTCTGAGGTTGGTAGACAATCATGCCATCTAAGGTCCAAGCAAGGAACGCCTGTAGGTTCAGTGTGCTGCACAAAAATATTACACATGCAAATCGTGCAGAGACAAAAAATGTCTAAAGCCCAACTAACGTTGCTGAAGCTGTCAGGACAGAGTATGTTCCTGTTGCTGGCATTCTTCAAGTGTTGCCGAGTGTGTTTGGTGGCAGGCTTCGTTGTGCTACTTCGAGCCCCAGCCACAATCGAAGCCACATGACTCAGGGGAAGGAGTACCTGAAAGCGGACAAATTACGGGGTGAAACGCTTAATATAAATCATTCAAAACACTCACACAAACCGCTTAACAGGAAGTGGCATGTGTGACACAAATATCAGCTAACAATTTATAGCGTCTTAACCTCGCAACTGTCATTGATGGGGCAAACCACGAAAGCGGTCGAGGCTGGTAGGAATTGAACTTGACAGGGTTGGTAGAAGAATCTTAAAGGGGTACGGAAACATAAATTGAAATATTCAGATTTCGTTCGGAAATGAGTCAAGCATGACGGATAATAACTGTAAATGATAATCGCACGTTTGTATTTTGAACGATTGGCTATATTTTTCGTTCCAAACGGTGCACTCGAGCAAGCGCTCGAAGAGAAGCGAACGGAGAGCGCGATGCGTCATGGGATATCCAGCGCAAACAAAAACAGAAAGATTTCCCGCGTTCGTGGAGTAGCAAAGCAGACGTGGTTATGAGCTTTGCCCTTGGTGGCGTTGTCAGCGTTGTGGTGGTGTTAATAGCGTCAGCGCGTTACAACCGAGCCGTTCAAAGTACCAGTGGGGTGACGGGCGTGTGGCTGGTCCATGGAGCACATAGCTTCCACAACACTGTCAGCTTAGGGCTGAACGGGGTGGGGAAAGCGACTTTTGTTCGAGTTTTGAGGGACGGGCTAATCTTCTAGGGGGAGAATGGTTGTTTCCGGTTGCACGAACGAGGGTCCGAGAAAGAGAGGAGTCCACCCTTTCCATCTTCTTGAACCGTTTGGTACAATACGCGATTTGTGAGTTCAGGAGGAAAGCTAAGAAGGAAAACGTTGAAATGCCAAAGAGCGGCACTGCTCCGAAGGAATCTGCTACGTCACGACTACGTAGCAGACTCCACAACGTTGCTAGACTACCTCCCAAGTAGGCTCCGCATGCATCCACCAGGTGCACATTGAAAGTCGTTTATTTAGCTTTAAAATCAGTTTTCTTGTGCTTTTCAACGGAAGACTGGTGTTTTCGAGGTTAGGGTGCGACATGCAACACATTAAAGTTAGAAAATGAGCGCTGAAATTTCGTTTCCCTACCCCTTTAAAGGCGCCAGCCAATGTTCTTCATGACCCAGAGATGATACATCTGGCGGACTGGAGAAGCTAAGTGTACCACAGAAGCGCTGGAAGCCTCCGCCGCCTCCAGGTAGAGAATTTGATCGGCGTCACCAGCATTTGTTGCTTCGTCAGGTTTCGAAGTCGGATGCAGAGGCTCAAATTAATTAAGATTTCGGGCGCTTTTCCTGCCCACGCCGACACATGAGGTGCAACCCACGAGCACGAATGCCATTGTGGCGTCCGTGTCACGTAAGTTCTAAGCTATTATCGCATGATGCAAGCTCCAGCAAATATTAGTAGCCTGTACACAAAATCAAGTCGCACGAATCGCCTCGTTTTACAAAAAGAGAAAAAACAAAACACCACTGTAACATCCACAGTAATTCATTAATCATGATCGCCAGTTTTCGCGTTCAATAAACGCGTTTTTTACGTCAAAGTGCAGTTGCTCCCACATCTTAGTAACTTACACAACGTTTAGTGACAATGTTGAATAAAACTCGAGTGCACAAGCTAATGATTTTTGGCATCCCTGACATTCTCTTCAATAAAACAGATTTACAAGGGCTCTTGCATATTCCAGAAAGAAAAACGTACTTACCTGACCTTGTAGGCTTAACACGTTACTTAAAGAAATCATGGCAACAGCTTTACGTTTTTACGCTATCCGAGCACCCGCTGAACGTTTCTATCGGACAAGCAGCTCATAAATGACGGTGAATTAAGTTAATTTTGGACATGTCACGCTGCTTTTAGCTCGCGCTCGCGACCAGGCAGCAGGCCGGCATTGAACAGGGTGGATGGATGCGAGGCTGAACCGCTGAACACTGAGGCCAGCTGAAGCTGAAAAGCTGAATCGACAAACCGCTGAACTGAATTGGGCGGAAGCTAGCGCCACCCCAAAGTCGGTGAACCTACTAACGTTCGCGAGACATGACCTCCGAGATCTCGATGCGGCTACCTGTCCTTAGGATTTTACATAAATAAATAAAGTAAATTTAACAGCCTGTATACATTTATTAAAAGCCTAAAAACTGGGTAAACTCGCCGCAACGCAAAAAGTACAGCTTTATAGTTAGCAACGAAGGCAACGAACGACACCATGAATTCCGCGATATGCGAATTCGAAACCGAAAGTTTCTTTTAAAAGGTGTAGAGTATGCTTGGCAGTGCTTTTTACTATTCGTTTGTTCCTCGTGAGCAGCAGACTGGTGGATGGGGTCTCCAAATCCCGGCTCGCGAATACCAGCGGTCTTTCCAGTAACGGCCGGCCCGCGGCCCTCCACTACAAACGCAAAAATAGCAAGCGTAAAAATATTAATAAACAACGCCCAAACGCGCATAAAAAAAAAACTGCATGAAAACCTTTTTTTTTTTTTCGACATATTGTTTATTGTACATTGTCATAACCAGCATTACTATGTATAGTTCCCTGGTTCATGTCCGCGCTGCAGAACCCAGGGATCCTAGATTCAATCTCCACCCTTGTCCGTTTCGACCTGGATGAGCATCGTATCGGCGTGCGGTCATGTATCACTACTGCGTGGTGCCAAAGCACGTTAAAAAACCCAGGCTAGAGGTTGTACTGCACCTGTATATAGACACAAAACATAATTATTATATTTCTTTGTTTTCATGTATACCATGCAATGTCCTATCTCTTGCAGTCTCATCAATCCTCACGTCTATGCCCTTCGGGATGATGTTAGAGTTCCTACGCACTTTGATGTATGCCCGACGAGTTTTCTGAGTCACAATTATTGTGTATTATCAATGCTAGCAGTATATTGCATTGAAAAATAAAGTATGCATTCATCTACCATTTTTTTTTTTTTTTTTTATTTCTCGTTTATATTTGTTTGCTTATATGCTTATTTGCGATTATTTGTTTCGCATTTCTGTCTTGCCTACTATCCGACCCTCGGGACTGCGACAGGTACCTAATCCAGCATCTTGGCCAAAATGTTTGTGAGACACTAAACGGAAATTATAATCCGAGACTCCAATTTCACTTCCCGATTGATCAATAGCTGAAGAAATTACATGAGTACACTTAAGGCTACTCACATGTAGAAAGGTAAAAGCCAGTCAAGGAAGACATCTAGGACGACCTCAAGGACTACGTCGAAAAAGACGCCTAAAGGACGACGTTTGGGGGTTCTAGGACGGCCTCTAGGATGATATCAAGAGCGATGTCTAGGATGACTTCTAGGGCGGCCTCAAGGACGATTTGAAGGACCTCAAGGTCGACGTCTAAGACAATGTCGAGAACGACTCCTAGAAGACGACATCGACAATGAAGCCTAGAGGGGGACACTTAAAGGGGCCTTGAAATTAAGCGTCTACCTTTTTTGCCGTTTCCACATCCTTCAGGGTTCGGGCAACGTTACTAAAACACTCAGTTGGGAAACTGCCATAGAGACTAATCTGAAAAAGTGGCCCCGATCTGTCCTCCAGAACCGAGCTAATGACGAACACAACGCCGCCATTTCTCCCGCAGCGGCCACTCGAGGAACTGTGCGTTACTTCTATTTTGGCTTTAATCGGCCATTGTGGAGCCGAAACAGATACAGTGGAAGAGGTTACAGGGGTGCCGCCCCCGTCTCCCCAGCGGACGCGCCGCGACTTACTACCGAAGTTAAAATGCACTTAGGTCGGGACGCGCTACCTGAAAGCACCGGTGAGGGATGGTTGTATAAAAAACAATATTAAATGTGTCACAAAACCCTGCAACCTAAAAATTTTAAAAACATCACGCGCCCATCATTTGGTACTAAACTCCAATAAATTTCATACAAAAAGAGTCTTTTCCGTTTGTTTTTACGCAAAAAAGTGGAAGCCGTTTACAACTCCCTGTAATGCCGAATTGGAGCGCAGCTCTTGAGGAGGAGGAGGGAAGGGTACTGAGGGCCACGTGTTCTCGGGCCGGGGGACGGGGGGGGGGGGGGGGGGGGGGTCAGGTGACATAGGAGAAAGGGTCACGTGATCTTCAGAGGGGGTCAAGTGACTTAGGGGGAGGGGTCACGTGACTCCCCAGGTCACGTGACCTGGGGAGTCACGGGGGGAAATTTTTTCCGCTAGATTTAGCGGGGAAATTTTTCCGCTAGATCTAGCGGGGAAATTTTTCCGCTAGATCTAGAGGGGAAATTTTTCCGCTAGATTTAGCGGGGAAATTTTTCCGCTAGATTTAGCGGGGAAACTTTTCCGCTAAATTTAGCGGGGGAATTTTTCCACTAAATTTAGCGGGGAAATTTTTCCGCTAGATTTAGCGGGGAAATTTTTCCGCTAGATTTAGCGGGGAAATTTTTCCGCTAGATTTAGCGGCGAAATTTTTGCGCTAGATTTAGCGGGGAAATTTTTCCGCTAGATTTAGCGGGAAATTTTTCCGCTAGATTGAGCGGGGAAATTTTTCCGCTAAATTTAGCGGGGAAATTTTTCCGCTAAATTTAGCGGGGAATTTTTTCCGCTAAATTTAGCGGGGAAATTTTTTCACTAGATTTAGTGGGGAAATTTTTCCGCTAGATTTAGCGGGAAATTTTTCCGCTATATTTAGCGGGGAAATTTTTCCGCTAGATTTAGCGGGGAAATTTACCCATAATGCACCGCGCGGTTACGCCGACACCGCTCAAGCCGGAAACGGGCGCCTAAGAGCTGCGTTCCAAAACATGCTTTCTAAAAGCTCAAGGTGACCACAGTACAGACAAATGATAAAGAGTGGCGCTGTTGTCGTATTTAGCTCGGTCTCGGTGGACGCCAGCGGCCCAAGTTTCGACGGCGAGTTTCCCAACCGAGTGTTCTAGTAATGTTGGGTTCGGGCAAGCCAGCGGGCATGGAGAGAGCAACTAAATATCAGTGCATCATATTTTAATCGGACGACGCGGAAACCTTCTCCACCTACGGGGGCGACCCACGGTGCCGAAAGCGCACGATAAGCGACGTCTTAGATCCTGGGCTTACTACTGGTCAGAGCCACTAAAAGCTTCTTTTTTGTCGAAATACAAAATATAAGTGACGCAAACCGTTTCAATTATTTAGAAAATTAGTTTTTATTCACTATTTTAGATCAGAAAAGAAACAAATGCAATTTAGAAAGTATGGAAACAAGAAATCACCTGTCGACATACCCGCCACCAGGCGGTGGAAAAGGCGGCGCATACTAGAAAGGTGTAGTGCGATCAGGCGCCACGAGGGGCGAGCTTAGAAAGGTCCCGGATGTACGCGGCGGCGCTGCAGTCGTACGAACTGGAGGATCCAACCGGTTCCGAGCATTCCCAAGGCCTTCGGCGAGCAGCTTTGGCTTGCGGTTTGGCCTTTTGGCGGTATGGCAGCGCGAAGTGGCTCATGTTCTGATCTATACCCCGTGTTTGCTGTCGTTTGTGGCCAATGAAGCGTCATGCCGAATTAGTGTTTAATCACGCAGCGAATGCTATGCGAGCCGCCCTGGCTGCCCGCTTCATACAGCCTATTCAGAACATGTTTTAGTGGTGCCGTCTCGAGCCGTCGACACGGAGTGTGGCAGCCGCGAGCGCTCGCCGAGCTCACTACCACTCTAGTTCACGGTCACTCAAGCAACCAAGGACGTCATGGAGGTTATTTTAAGCTCTTGTCATTTTAATTTGCCTATAACTTTCAAAATAAATCGAAATTCGAGAAAGGAAAAGTTTCATTAAATTACTATGTTTAGTGCAAATTAAAAACCAGTAAAAAAAGTCCTGGCAGGGCCCCTTTAAGGAGGCTGTGGCGTATTTGCGTGGGCAGCCACGTTTGCCTGCGGAAGCCGCCGTAGATGTCGATGCTGCTGCCAACGTCGAGGCCATAGATGTAGAAGCGGTCGCCTCACAGTCCATCGCACAAAGCGCACAAAGAGCAGAGAGGAAATTCGAAGCACACCTTTTGCACAGAGCACTCCGGTGGCGACATGATGCTGACGACATATTTTTATGGCCATCTTTCAGGCCCAACAACAATGCTGCTGAAGCCGCGTTTTTCACGTAATGTGGCAAGCGAGGTCGTCCTAGAGGTCTAGGACGATTTCTAGGACTACCGCAAGGACGACTCCAAGGTAATGGGACAAATGGGTCGCCCATGGAAAGGTGCATGCCACAAAATTGCATTTTTATCGGCTTTTTCTACGACTTTTTAATCAATGGGCCAAGTAAGGCTTTCGCTTCAACAATTCTCCACATATATGCGAGCACCCGAACGCTGCTTCCAGTGTTTAACGATAAGCCACGACAGGGAGCAAGTGCAGACTGCAGAAGCGCAGCGTGCTTCAGCACTGTGCGAAAGCCCTTTGTCGCATACCTTCGGCACGAATCGGCGTTGTGTGCAGTGTGGCTAGTGCAGTAGAACAAACACACACTTTCAACCTACACGAGCCACAAAAATCGGTCTGAAACCTCATCACACACCTACGGGCACGGCCTGCAGCCTTCTGTGATCAGACTCTCCAGATCCGATGAAATAAATGGTTCACAAAACAAAACAAACAAGAAAAGCATTCGAAGCTAAAGAATTGTTGGATCCAAACTGCAACTACCTTGTATACTACCGCATGCATCACGACTTGAACGACTCCCACAATGAGAACGGCACAGGGGTCTTCCAGTTGTCTCACCTCCAGCGCGAGGTACCTGCCTTCGACAAAACTTTCGACGTCTCACGCATTTCATGTCTCCATGCGCAGCCAGAGCACCACGAAAGGTAATGTGCGCACACTGGAGTCCAGGCACCCGAAAAAGATTCTGTCAGTCGTTTCGAGGGCATATGTACAGTAAGTTTTTGGTGTAGAGCTTTAATTCATATTGCCAGATGGTTCCATTTATGTCAGCTCCTCCAACGTCTTTCTAATAGTCAATGTGACGTGTTGGGCTAGTTGGTTTGAAGTAAACATCTCGGGAAGGAACAGTGGCAAAAAACTTGGACAAGTGTAAAGTAACACACACGACAGAACGGCGCTGTCCTGTGGTCAGCACCATCCTGTCGTGTGTTTCTTTACCCTTGTCCAAGTTTTTTTGCTGCTGTTCCTTCCCAAGATGTTCACTTTCTACGAGTGTTTGAACTTCAAAACCCTTCCCCACAATAGGATTAGTTTTGGCACCTAGAAGTGCTTTAAATGTGTACCCCTTTAAAAAAAAGAAAAAAGATATAAGGTCAAAGTAAAATTTTCTTTGCTACTTTTTAGGAACCAACGGCTGTGTCTGTTGGTGCAGGTAAACCAAGGAAGCCCGAGTCCAGGCAGCATAGAGCAAATGCTGCCTAAAAAGGAAAAGAAAGTTTTTTTACGGGTTTTAAACGATGCACATGTTGCACCAGCTTGGCTTTGTGGGATGTTTTACTTGCGTTTGTTCAAACACCACCCAAAACTTCATGAACTACAACTGGAAAACGGGTAGAACCAGGCTGATGACAGCACTGCTAATGAGCAATTCACAGCCTTGCGTTTCGAGTCTTCGGTGTCGGGAGCACTCCTTTCCTCGGCAATCACAAAGTTTCTGTCTCACCGTGTTCCCGCCAGCGGCAGCAATCTTTATTTCGTCATTATCATTAGGAGGGAAAGGGAGAAATTCAGCATTACAAAAGGTGGCTTGCTACTTTTGTACTATGTCCAATCTATAAACGACCTACGACTTGGATTAGGTCCAACTGGTTCAAGGCTGAATATCAGCAAAGTACAAACTCCAAAGGATCTTGAAGTCACTAAAAAAAAAGTCACACGAAAGTAAGCATAATTGCGATGCGTCCACTGCAACCTAGATAAACAACAAAAGGTGCTATTTTACAGACATTTTCAGAATGTTTAATAATATCCTGAAAGCAATCAACAACTCAAGGTAGGGATTTTTTTACACATTTTCCACAAACCTGGGATGAATCAAAAGTATTCCTAACTGTGGAACTTCCGCCTAGACCCCTAAAGTATGGGCCAAAGGCTGTGCAAATGTACAAGAACTTCAATAGCATATGCACACCTGAGAAAAATGTCCACGAGCGAACATTTTGCTTTATACAACTCCTGTGAACTCCGTGAAGCAACCGTTTTATTTAGACCATTCATTCTGCTTGAACTAGCACACATCAGTCAATTTTGCAGCAGAAACGTGAGGCTTCTTTGAGGTGTACAATACAGTTTTTGTTATTTATCCCTTTTCTTCGAAGGCTAGCAACTTCCCCAAACTGAGTTTGACTAGCAATGTCTTCAAACCCCAATAAAGATTTCCTAGCCAACTATGTACATATCCCAGAATAGGACACAGTAGCAGTGATTTTGGGTTGTTTTGCATTATTCTTCACCGTCAGCAAACAATACAATGCAAGTTTACTTCTGCTGCCACTAACGGGCATTCTATTGTCGACACAAGATCAACGAGACAGGTCTGGCTCTGGTCCGAGACTAAGGCAAGAGTTGCCTCGCAGAATATATTTATTTACCAAAGTAATAAAAAACAAAGGCCCTATCAATTTTTTTATTTTTTTTTATTTGGCTTTTTGTTTACTATGACCATTAAAATGATATGAAACAAACTTTCATACTGCAGTGGGCAAACTTGATTGCAGTGCTCTGGGTGACCTATTGATGCTTCTGGAGTCTTTCCAAACCCAGCGTACAAATTCTATCACACACTTGCCACACTTCCAAACATCCATGTGAAATCCAAGAGCAAAAACTTGGCAAAAAGAAAAGGCCCCCAGAGACTGCTCTAGGACAAAAGCAAACAAGACTATGGTACAACGCAATGAATGTGTGTATATATATTATATATGTACATCACATACACACACACTGAACAAAAACCAAAGGTACAACACAACAAAAACAAGCCGAGGGAGTCCCCTCCAGAACGTGCCCGGCACTCGTGCGCTCGCCTCGCCCTCGAAGATGCGGCCCCGTCGGCCCACTTTGAAACGTTCACTTCTTCGAGTGCGTCTTTCGGTCGTGGCACTCCCACACTTTCTGTGGCAGTCCGACGCCGACTGCAACTCGCTTCGTGAAGAAGTCTTCGAGTCCTCCTCGCTCGAATGGCCAGGCACCGCCGTCCGAGAAGCCAGACCCTGCCAGAGACCCGCAGCCGACTCCACGACACTCTTTCGGGAGGCGCCATCCGACGCAAACGAACACATCCCCCGTGGAGCTTATTGCGAGTCTCCGCAAAGTTCCGCAGAGGCCTCGCTTCCCGAACACCAGCACACCCGCCGGCATCGTAAGCAGGTCCAACTGAGGCAGGGAGCCGCAAATAGCGCCCTCGTGAGGACGGTGCAGCCATTCCTATATACCTCCGATCTCTCGCTTTGGTCTATCTCTTGGTCAACTTCAAAACCAAGTTTTGCTTCCTCTCCGAAGCCACCACAGTCCACTCCGGATCGTCAGGATCGTCTGCGACCAGGGGGACGCTCGATTGAGACGACATCGGAGAGTCCGGTTCCGCCGCTACCGTCGTCTCCGTTGTGGTCTCCGCCGTGGTTTCTGCAGCGGTCTCTGCAGCGGTCTCTGCAGCGGTCTCTGCAGTGGTCTCTGCAGCGGTCTCTGCAGCGGTCTCTGCAGTGGTCTCTGCAGTGGTCTCCGCCGTCAGCTCCGCGGACTCCGACTCGGACCCCGCCTCCCTTGCGGGAGACGCGGGGGGCGTGGGGAGCAGGTGCGGAGAGTTGGCCAGCATGGCCTCGAACTCTGCATCCGCCAGGGGGAACGAGCGGGGTTCGTAGGGCTCCATGTCACAGCAGAAGGCCCAGGACCCGAGCTGGGCCCAGGCCGAAGGTGGGGACAGGGGGGGCACGTCCCCGTCGTAGGGGTCCAGGCTGCCGGGTCCCCCGTGAAAGCGCATGCTCCCTGCCGCCATTCGGGACAAGGCGTGCTGGTGCAGAAGGTGTTGTTGCTGAGGATACTGCAGCAGAGGCTGGTGAAACACGTGCTGAGACAGAGGTGGCTGCTGCGGCTGCTGCAACGACTCCGGCTGCTGTTGGTGGTCCGGATGCGGCTCAGGCTGGTGCGACTGGTGAGCCTGGGCAGCCTTGGCCGCTCCCAGGGCAGCTTTCGAGAGCAGACCCGCAAAGCGCTTCCGCTCCTCCTCTTCGCAGACGCGGTGTCTCTCCTGGAAGGTCTCGTCTGCAATGTCTTCTGCCTGGAAGGCAGAAGTCATAACAATCGAGTCAGTGAGGAAACGAGGAGTTTTTGATCTGCCACAAAGCAAAGGGTATGCATTCCCAAGTGCATTTGTCTTCCTTAAACTCGGGTCCTGCAGGAATATGTCGTGCATACGGCTCAATCGTGCACTTTCCCAGATTGAGACTAGCAAACCTAGCTTAGTTTGTTTAGTACTTCTTCAGCTTCGGGCGAGTTATGCTGGAAGGCTCCATCCTGTGGCAGGCACTGTTTACACCAAACGTACACTTTATGCTGGGGACTCAAGATACTAGGATGAGGCACTGCCCCCTGTATTTTCTGTTTACTCTTCCAAATCCCAATTGCATAGTGAACCCTCATCATTCTGCGTTTGGACAGAGGTGGAAGCTTTATACTCTAACGAATTGCATATGAGGGCTTTTCCAGTATAGTAAGTAAAATTAGTTGATAGAAAACAACAACTCTTTTTTCCTTTCAGAATTTTAAAAATCTACCTGGAAAAATAAAAAGCCCAATATACACAAATTTTGAGAGTGGAACCAAACAATCATGCTCTAGAGAACACTCAACTTTCAAATTTAATAACCTTCATCTTATGGAGAAAAAGGACGCTGTCAGCCTTTTCAGAGAAAAAAAAGTTTGTCCCGATACTATTCCCACCTTTTCAATTTTCTTGCTAGAACCATCAAACTCAAGCTAAGGGTGCTAAAGGAGACAATCCTTCTCTCTTTCACAGTAGATTCAATTAAACATGTTCAGTGCTGTAAGCAGCTGTAGCACATCTTTTGCTTCACATGCCACAAACTCTGCAGAATGTATGTCATTATAAAGAAATAATCCCGCTTATCTGGGCTTCATAAAGGAAACTTCTGCAATGGCACTTTACACATCACTTAGATATAATCATCCATATGTGGAAAAAAAAAAAGTATTTCAGGGAAAAAAAACAAAAAACGAGAACCTCATCATTGCAGTTTCTTATTTTAAAACCTAACATATGTAAACAATAAATTTTATAGATATGAAAGGACTTGCTTCGAGCACTAACTAGAGAATGCAAAATTGGAAGAACAAATTTTATCCAATCAATTTTAATGTGAAAATCACGCTAGTCAGAAATATCTTGAGACACACCTCCTCTTTCACTTCTGAAGGCTCTTGCTGTGTTCCATTCAGTTCCTCTTCTGACAAGACTCGCCACCTAAAAAGAAAAAGAAGGCCAATATTGCATTGGGGTTTGCAAGCCGTACCCTTCACTTCGAACGTGCTCCTTTCCATTCTGGAAGAAGGCAGTACTGGTCCTCCAACAAGTATCAGGCATCACCAACTAAAAATGTTATCCAAAATCGAATTGCAGTTAGTTTTCCTTTATCACCAGTGTATACATTCAATTGCCTTTATAACACAGTGAACAAAGGAAAATTGTCCAGTGAACAAACAAGAACCAAGTCCTCACCCACTTCCTCTATGTTCAATGTGTTCTTATGACCCTTACCATTAACTTCTGTATTATGAATATTGCTGTTCAAGGAACAAAATATATGGCCCTGCACGGCATAAATGACCACAATTCCTCTCTGGTTTAAAAGAAACCTATTTCGCTTGAGTCATTGCAAGCAAGTGACACGCAGGGTGACGTGCACAAAACAAATGTACCGGTTGCTGTAGCCGGGGGCTGTGGAAGCCAACGACGCCTTCAAGTTTTGGATGTTGTAATTAAACTGCAATTCTTAATTCAGTTAGAAAACAAGGGATAATAATAAAACTACAGCAGAGTCCATATAAATCGTGCAATACTGAAGTATTCTTGCGAAGTCTCGAATTGAACAAAGGATGCCGCCAGGATATCACAGTTTATCGTACAGGAAGTATTCAGGGGCGGCCATAGCCGCGTGCACGACTGCCGAGCGCGTGCCGACGGCGAGCATCCACAGCTCTTTTGCAATGTGCAGCCAATACCATCAAGACTGCCGGTCTCAGCAGCCTATTCATGCGAGTGCTCGTTCTGAGGATGCACTGTAAGCTGCACACCCAAATGTGGCGTCCAGTGAACAACCCCTATAGACAATCGCAAGCATGGCACCATGACTGGTGCCCCAATGCGTGCAAGCACGTGCAGTGTGCACGAGCATAGATTTGACAAGCTTGCATTTGCACGGGCTTGTCCGCACAACCGTAGACATGGCGGCAGCCAGTCACCCCACTTGCAATTGTCGATGTACAAGCCTAAGTTTTATTCAGGAATTGTGCTACGTCTCACTCTGGAGGAGTGCTTTCCCCGGACCAAGCGGGTGAGCTGCGGCGAAGCAAGACACACGCAAAATCGCGACGACTGCTCCGCGGCTGTGGCTTCACTGCAGTACATCAGTGTGCGGCGAGAAGCGCACTCAACGAAACTACCTCGACAGAAGAAACCACAAAAGTGAGAAATATTGTGAAACGTCCGGTACTGTCAGTGTTTGACGAGAAATCAAATCGAATAGTATGTTATTTGAGGAGATTAGCGAAGGTTTTGAAAACCCGTACAAGCACACATCATAATCATGCGGATGGGTAGCAAGGCCCGAGCTATTTATTTTCAGCATTATTAAAATGAAATGAAGTTTAGCTGCAATGTTAACGGAAATTTCTCACATTTTGGTCAAATGTAGCACGATGTAGAAGGGTAAGAGACCCTTTGGCACAAATGGCGCAGCAATCGCACCACTGCTCCTGCGATGCCAACATCTCGGCAAAAACAACAGAACCATATAGAAACAGCTCTCGTGTTGCACAGGTGTAGCGCTGTGCCATGACTCGCAATCAATTTTGAGAGTTTCATTTTTGGCACTCAACCTTTACAAAATGGGAAGTTGTACAAAAAAATCTTTCAGCCTTTCCACTCTGGTGGAGAAGGAAGACAAGCGAAGCTGGTACTATGGTGGGACGACCTCAAGGACGACTTCTTGGACGACCTCCAGGACTATGCCTAGAGGACGACGCCTAGGACAACCTCAAGGACGACCTCCAGGACGATGCCTAGAGGACGACGTCTAGGACAACCTCAAGGACGACTTCTAGGAGGACCTTGAGGATGACCCCAGGGAAGACATTTAGGACAACCTCAAGGACGACGCCTAGGATGACTTCAGGGAAGACGTCTAGGACGACCTCAAGGACGACGTTTAGGACGACCTCAAGGTTGACCTTGAGGACTACCTCTAGGACGACCTCAAGGACGACTTCTTGAACGACCTCGAGGACGACATCTAGGACGACATCTAGGACGACGACTGGAGAAATTCTGCCTTTCCACTCTGGGGAGAACCAAAGTGGAAAGGATGGAAAGGTTGCCGCCATCTATGAGCGAGGCCGGCAAGCCAGTTGTCTGGTTGCCGCCGTCGCTCATAGATGGCGGTAGCTGTCCAGAGTTTTGTATTGACATTTGTTTGGTACTGGACACGATCCTGGGGACCCTAGCCCTTAACGGCTCCGCTGTAAAAAGAAAATTTTGCCGGTCCCGCAGAGTCTGTTATGGATGTGTGACTGTATCGCTGAAGACTTCTAGAGGGACAGTGATCGCCACTGGGTACCTATTGACGGGAGGACAAGGTGAGCAAGGCTAGGGGGAGCACTCACTTCGGGGTGAGGATCTCCTTGTAGGGAAGTCGCTCCACCCGAGTGGCCGACGCAATGCTGTAGGGGATCACAATGTTGTTGATGTCGAAGGCATTCTCTCCTCGGCGTCTTCGGAGTACCTCCTGGAGGATGGACCTGTTCTGGGCTCCACCTGGGCAGACGGGCACGCAGACCCCACAATTACAGACATGGTAATGCCTATTGCAGGAGTACCATGGGGATAAGTGTGCAGAAGCAATTGTCAAAGATCAGGATGTTCTTCAAGGAGGCCATATCCGACTCTTAATGATTAGTGCTCATGAACTTTATTCCGGAACCCCGAAGGCTTCAAAAGCACGCCCATTCCCTTGAGCCTTCCCCTTGTCTTCCAACGTACAAGTGACGGGAGAGCCCAAGTAAGCTACTTATCCAGACAGGCTAGTGCAACTGAGCTCCACGTTGGCGTTAAATTTCTTTGGAAATAGTGGAACAAACCAGCACAAGCACAAACCCCAGCAAAGACACCGAAGAGGGGTAGGAAACTCCTTGTGTAGTCATCACGCATTTGAGACGCAGAGTGCAGTGTTGTGGAAGGTTTGAGTACAGTGCTCAGGAAGGGCCTCTATGTATGTCACATTATAGAAGGTGTGCACATGCTCTAAGCACACAAATTACCTTGGATGTGATTGCACTTGTCAAACTCGTGGTACTCTCCAAAACTACAAGCTCACATCCTCCTAAGTTGTCAGGCATGAATGAGCATGCAATTCGAAAGAATTAAGGTAGCTGGGAGTTTCTCACATGCCCTACGTCTAGGAACTCGTGCTACTTCAAACCACGCAGTGGGCAACGACTCTGCTTCGCACACAGAGGACCCAGGTTCATCTCACGCAGGTGCGGGCAACATTTTTCTAAGGATTTGGCAACATCAACGATGGACATCCTATGCCCTTCTATTGCCAACTACAACATCAACAATGACAACTACAACTACGACATCAATGGACATCATTTCCGGTGGTGGGAGGAGCCCATAACAGCTACTGCTGTAAAACATAGAAAGGTTGCCCACCCTTGCAAAAACTGCAACCAAGGATAGCAAGATAAGCAAACATCCCTTTTCCCCAAATTCCGCAACCTCAAAAGTAAAAAAACAAAGTTTTTTTTTTCTTTTTTTTTTTTCCTGTTTTTTGAATAAAAGCAAGATCATCTCCATACGAAAAACCCCAACCACAAAGCATAATGTCAGCAAAAAGAGATTTTCCCAGAATGTAGTGAAAAGAAAGTTTTTCTCTACTCGAAAAAGACACAACTGTGAATCGTGAGATCAGTAAACACCCTTAACGGGTGTTCAATTGCATTTTAGCAGGATTCTAGTAGGATAGCTACAAATGCAGATGCATAACTATTATGCAAAAAGATATGGATGGAGACACATAATTAGTAAACGCCAAACTGAATCAGCGACTGGCACCCGTCAATGCTGCTACAGAGTTCGGGCTGGAACATTGAGAAAGCTTGCAAGTAGAAGCACCTAGCATCACTTTAGATTCTAACAATGATGACCCGTTCAACTGCTTCAAAGCCGACAAAGAAGGAATGAAGACTTGCTCGGATGCCACGAACAAACATTTCGGACAGATCTCGGCTTCTTCGCGCTCGGTTCGGCTTGCAGTAAAAATATCTTGTCACTAGCAAATATTTGCTAGAGAAAACTTTTCAAAGAGGCGAGAAGCGTGTAATTGATGTTGCGAAGCACCCGACATTGCAGTCATCAAAATTAAGTGCATTCGCTAACTCGCCTGGCACAAGGCGCTACTCTCGCCCTTCAAGCCTTCTCCTCGCTTGCTGCATGCTTTTGTTTTCCTTGTTCAATTTTGGGTTATGGGCCGCCGTGACAAAGTAACGCTGGGCATGACCGTGCAAGAATACGAAACCTGTCCTTTCCCTTCATCACCCGTATGTAAGCAACTCACAGCAACTTATTTTGTGGGGCAGTAAAACATTATTTCACAAGTGGATTAAGCACGAAAGTAACTTAAGTCTTCAGTTCAGTGTATTGCCCGTTGGGCAATCCTAGAAACAAGCAATACATATTTTAAAGTTGAGCTTTTTGTGCTTAGGCACCGAGACATAGCCCACAACCACTTCATTGGCAAATCTTAGGCAAGAGGGGGAGGGTGCATTGAATTGGGATATTACAGAAGTAAAAGGGGTGCAGACTCCCGGTATTTTGGGAGGCTGTTACTTGCTCTTAATCCTAACAATCCATGAGTTACCCAGTGCCCTTCCAAAGTAAGTGCAAGACTAAGCAGTAAAAAGGAAGGAAAGTTACTGCCATGAGCTCAGCTTAGTGGTTTACAAAAGCAAGCAAGTCAGTGAAGAACCAAACATGGGCAGACAGCTACATTTGCATTCTTCTCGCCTCCTTTAAAATATTTTCTCTAGCAAATGTTTGTTAGTGACAAGATATTTTTACAAGCAAGGATCATGCAAGAGAAATATTTCCTGTTTTGTTTCGAACTACCGCTCATAGAGCTGAAGAGAAGTGGTAAACTAACAGTCGACACCTGAATCGGTTGCACGTGACATTGCCGACAAAGAATTACAGCCTCACAAGGATGACAATCAAACTGCTAAGTATGCAATCATAGATTGACATATACACAGTTCAGACAAGCTGCATATTGCAAGTCTTTGCAATTTTGTAAAGTACAGCATCAGAGGAGATAAAAGAGACCACAGGCCATATCTGTCAGGACTTCAGAACTATATACAACAAGCCAGCAGACACAAGAAAAGACCTTGGTTGGTGCCATTGCCCGAGGATACCCCCGTGGTGAAAACCGCCCAGCATTGACTCGGCACGAGAATCCTCCTCACCTGGGAGCTGCGAGTTGGAAGAATCCCCCAGGGAAGGCGCAGGGGAGGGCACGGGAGAGGCAGCCTTGGAGCTGCCGCTGGAGGCAGTTGACATGGTCCGCTGACGATCTCGCTGCTTCATCGACACTGCAACACAGAGGTCGTACTACATCAGTCACACCGGCATCTCAGAGATCTGGACCCATAAACAGTATGGCTATAAACCTCGTACATATTTGAAGAGATACTGAACCAACTTTTCAGTGTCCATATTAAAGGGAAACTTAAGCGGTTTTGTATTTGAGGAAAAATACCTAAATCGCCTTCATTTGGCCTCCAAGATCACGAATATCGTCATTATTTTTCAATATGGTGCACGAAGGCTGCAGAAATTCATTTTTAAAGTACCGCTGAAGCCCCTCCTTCCCGGAATGTGACGTCATACTAGGAGTTCGGAATCCCTGCTCTCGCGCATCTTCAGCGCTTGTCAAAGCTATGCACCCGCACTCTTGCTATTTTCAAAAAAGTCAAAAATAGATATAACGACTGGTGTCAGTGCAGAAAAGTATACCTGGCAAGCTTGCAATTGCACGTGCTGCCCAGACGAGCAACACACGCTTGGCGGCCCAAAGATCCTAGTATGACGCCTCGACTGGTCAAAGGTTTTTTGTATTCTCTTGCGTTTAGTTACATCTTCGGAGAAAACAAATTTGACCAAACTTGATATTCAGATTGGTGGGATAAAAATATGCCAGAATTCACCTCTAATTTGTTTTTTCCAAGAAGTGTTTCAGCTTCCCTTTAAATGGCGCACAATCTTTCCACGAGCCAACAGCTGCCGGTCTGCGCAAGCACACGCAACGAAATTGACGTCATAGTCCTCCATTCATGAGAGCGAAATGTATGGGTTCCAGGCAAACGAAGAATAGGGACAGGCTTTTCCTTTCCACAAGTGAAAGCTACATGCTTGTTAGACCAATTGATTGCCTACCTTTCACACCAGACTCCACTGTTGAGACAAAAAGCCTGTCTTTTTTTCTCCTTTTCCTCGGAGCCCACACATTTCACCGATATCTTAAGTGTGAGTGGAGGACTACTACGATGTCAATTTTGTTGCATGAGCTCGTGAACTCCGGCAGCAGCTGGCTCGTGAAAAATCGTGGGCCACTTGTTATGGACACTCAAATGTTTGGTTCGGCATCCCTTTAATGGCTGCCCCCAAGAGCGGTCTGCATTCTGCATTGCAGCATGCAACCTGTGTGCCACTCACCGTTTCTGGGCAGAAGTTTGTTCTTGCACGTTTGCATTACGTGTTTTACGAATTCACGCTACAATGCTGCATGTGAATGGTTTTGTGTGACACTGAATATTTGTCGAGAGACCGTTCCCTCGCTGAGCCACAACTACAAATGCGGTGTTGGCCGAGCAGGATGTTACAAGAAAATTCTGCAACCATCAAAACACTGTACTACACGATGAGGGCGTAGGGGTTGTCAGGCTTCAAGAAAAAAAAAAGAAGACTAATACGAACCACAATACTGTTGGCACTTGGCATGCTCAATCACAAACCTCACACTGCCTCTGGAGGCTGCCCTATGGTGACAAGCAGCATAACTAACGAGTCTTGAGCAAAGGACACAGGAGCAATGAAAACAGGCACCGCGCGGCAGTACCCATAGCAACCAGTGCAGGCGTCCTTACGTCACTGATGCAGACGCCTCACAGCAAGGCGCTGCTCCAATCTGGTCGGCCAGATACTTGCGCGCTGTGCGCCCGTCGCACCCAGCGGTGAGTGGCGGAAAAGCAAATATGGCGACCGTTTGTTTGATCGGTACGGTTTGGGTTCGGTGCTGGGGGAAGCTCGAACGCTCTAGAGAAAATGTTCCTGTCGTCTGCGAAGTAATTCAAGTCCCATAGCCTAGGTGATACAAAAGGTGTTGCAAAATCACCATTTCAAATAGGCAGGTCTTCACGAACAACGACGGTGCCAAAAAGCGGTAGTATGACTCCGAGAGAGGTTGGTTTGGTGTGTGTGGTTCGAGTTCAAGGCGGGGAATCTGTTTGCCGGAATGTTACTGCCACAGCCGATGAAGGACCTAACAGGATGTCTAGCAAATTATTATTTTGAAATTCCGACTTTTCCAGGTTCTCCTTGACAGTTTCAGGTGAGATTCCCTGATCACTGTAGAGGTGGTTAAATATATGAGACCATTACAACACAAGACATTGAGCACTGTAAGCATCATTTTGCATGAGTTTAACCGACTTGCATAATCCGATATTCGGGTTTGTCCAGTCCCGATTAAATGAGCACTTTCTTGCTGCTGACATCGTCAGTGAAGAGGCCACTTCCAGAAACAGAATGAAAACACCACGCTCAACCACACACGTCAATAACCGAATGGCAGCATGGCGCATGGCCGCCAGACGCACACTTCTGGATACGTTCGGCTTAATGCTTGGATTGGATAGGGATCTGCGGCTTTCCCATTTGTTACTAAATCTAGTAGCTCTAACTGGATCAAGCATAGTGTCGTGCCCTCAATCTAATCCAATCCAAGGCTTGGACTGGATTTGTGGCTGTTCCTTTTTCATCAGGTAGCACTCTCTACATCAGGAGAGCAGAGCCTTTGCTCTAAGCAGGATTTATTGCCTACTTAGCTGCCCCAAGTCCTCAAGCCTTTGCTCCGGGCACTCGATGGCGTTTCCGGCTTATTTTCCCTGACTGGGCTCACTTTTTGACAATATCCCTGATAATTCCCTGGTTTTTCACGGTAATTAAAATTTCCCTGACTATTCCCGGTCGCTAGACACCCTGCTTAACACGAAAGGTGTCTGAAGGATGCGGACACTGTGCACTTTGTACAGGAGAGACCTTAGGCGTCGTCAGGTTTGTCAAGCCAGCCATTTGATGCCGCCGGGAAACGAAACGTGTTGTGTGTCTTGGAATCTCTCTGCTGGGTTAGTATTTTGGACTGCGCTTGTAGGTATTTATGCTCATGCATACCGTTTTTATGACGCTTGGGGATAACGCTTTGTCACTGCTCATTTCAAGGTCACGGTCATAACATCTCATAATTATTGCATTCAGTGTGGCTTCCTTAGCATAAAGTCGATAAATCTCCATGTAGTTTTGAACGAAAGCGCCATGTCTCATGAAAACTGATCCGCGTCTCATACAAGCGATTTGCGCTAGCCTTTTCAGTTCAATCATGACTTCTTCGGACCCCTGAATGCCTTCGTCGCGGCGTCCAGGGGTCCGTATATGTTCTGTGGTACGTTTGCTTCAGGACTGACACGCCGTGCGCCTCGAGTTGTCTCAGCGGAGTTGGACACGTTGCATTTGAATTTTGAAATGAATGTTGTTCATAGAGTCTACATTATTACTCATTGTAACGATTGCATTTTTTTTTTTTTTTCATCTAGATTGGGTAGAAAACAAAAGCAAACCTGGCGCTTCTAGTGCTGTGAGCATACCCTTTGCGGCAATGTTTTCTTCTACATTATTACTCTAATAGTATTAGAATAGTAGCACAAGAACGTATGTGCCGGTTTTATTTGTTTTATTTTTTATCTGAATACTTTAACTTACGTTTTGGGCATAAATACAGTAAAACCTCGTTATAACATAATGGGATATAACAAACTAATGAATATAACAAAATAATCATAATTCCCCTCGCGTGCTAATAGTGGGAAGAAATGGACACTGGCTATAACAAACTAATGGTCATTATAATGAAATAATTAAGACCGCTCCTTCAACTTTGTTATAACGAGGTTTTACTGTAGTGTGTTTTAAAACGAATACTGCCAGTTGCTTTATGTTCAGTGCCAATGGTGTACCAGCAACTACGTGCATCGCGCAACGGGCTTTTGCGTGCATGTGTTAGGATACACAAATATCACCAGAATATCGCCAAGTGGTGCATCATGCAGAGAGCCGCGCAACACCCAGTTTCACCGCTCTTGTGTCCCCTCTTTACAGTTGAAATATCAGCTGTATGGGTATTGTTAGAAGTGACTGTCGGAAATCATAACGTGAATGTAAAAATAAAACACATACTGAAAACTTTTGAAGAATATTTGCAGATGTGGAATTTAGCAACTCCTTTTCGTCTGTGCTTCACGATTGAATCTCTAAAGTCTCTGGGGTTATCAGCTCGAACTGCCCTCTGAGCTCTTTCCACCTCTCCGCTTCCCACGCGGCAGGTTCGACTTTGCAGATCTGCTCTCGCTGCACGGGCAAGCAATCCAACACGATGGTGCCGCTGCCTGAGGTGTTGAGTTAAATTTCTATGTGTATGTGTTGCTTACAGTATGCTACTGAACTTGTGGAAGTGACTCAGCAGTGGCGAGTTTGAAGCAGAGCAGGTGAATGTACCGATTAGCAACATGTTGTATATTTTAATGAGTGGGAGCAAGAGTTGAAGCCAATGAATTGACTGGACCGCTGGTCTCTATAACAACAGGCTGGATTGCAAATTGAGAGCCTAACGATGCTAATTACCAGCAGCCACTGCTTGACGGCAGCCAATATATGCCTGTTAATGAAAGAAAAGTAAGAAATGTTGGAGCTTATAGTACACGGTCCTATAAGCTCCGTGTACTGCGATCAAAACTGTTACATGCGAAGCAGCCGAATAATCAGAATTAGAGTGCGCCCGAGTACCCATGGCTGTGCTGGCTGTTCAAACAGAAAGGCAGGGGAGAGGAAGTAGTTCAAAGGGCTACTACCGCAGACAATATGAGCTGAAACAGTTAATCGCTCACAGGCCTACATGCTGGTTTCCGAAAAGGTTTTGGTTCAAGGCAGTGAGTGCTAGAACGCTAAGTTTACGTCCCATTCTTCAAGACACACCCCACGTAGAGAGAGAATAGAACATGGGGAGACCACAGATTCAGAAAAAGATTGCACTACTTGGTGTCTCGGGTCATATTATCCGCAAGGGTATATTGTTTTTGTAAACTAACAACTATCAGACACGCTACAACTAACGAGGCACCCACGGCTAAGAGGAATGAATGAATGAAATTGAGGGGTTTTGGCGCAGCAGCAACAAAAGCCATAGTGCGCCAGAACTACGGCTAAGCAGATTGTTTGCTCAAAGTTCCACTGAGGAAGCAGCTGCAGAACTTTGTGAAACATGTCATCACTCCCTCTCATCATGCCCCCTCTCTTTGGCAAGCTCCCCCTCTTAAAGGGATGCATACTCGTCAACTTGCTGCCACATAAACATTGGTTATTGAAGCCACTGAATATAAATAACTCTAGGAACAAGTTCACTGGCAAAGGGTCACTTTCCAACTTCACAAAATGGTGGAATTTCCTCAAAAGGGATGCTGCACCCCACGCATCGAAACGATTCAGACATACAGACACTCGGCAATGAGGATTGGGTATGTCGTTCTATGAACGGACCGCCGTTCTCACGTTTCTGTTGCAACGTGTTTCTGAAAGCTGAGTAGGATGGACTGGAACTAGTTTTTACATTCTGCCAGACTCGAATTGCACAACCTGCACCTACCTCTCAGCTCCTTCCGTAATCTCTTTTCTACATGGGTAAGTGTACACCACCACCTGGTGGCCAAATGATTCCCCGCTTGAGACTTTGGCACCCGCTGGGTAGCCCGTGAAATCCAGACAAGTTCCTATTAGCATCACAATGGCAGATCACGGGCAAAACAAACCTAAATACAGCACCGTCAAATTCAGCTTACGCTCAGCGCGGTAAAATTACCCGCCCCGACAGAGGGGGATGGGCCCTCGCCACTCACTGAGGGAATAGGAGCCGTCCGATCGCCTGAAGTGGTCGTCGACGCAGGTCTCGTCGATGGTCACCTCTCCATCCATGTGTCGTCGGTACGGCCTCTTCTTCTCCCCGTGGTGCCGCCTCATTTCTGCCACGGAGCAAACGAGCAGGAATGCTTACAGGGACCACGAAACGGACGCCGGCAAGCGGGGTACTACGTCACCCTTCGCTTCAACGACCGATTACCTCATTGAGACATCGCGAGTTGGCACGTGTAGACAAAACCGCATTAGTGTTTCCAGCATTTCAAATACAAAGTGTCTACACTGAGCTCTAGATAGTCAAAGTGGACAAATACATACGTCGTGCCAGAAAACACGCGCTGAGAACGATCGCAAATCGACCTTGTATACAATCACCGACGGAGCGAAAATGGCGGGACGTCTCTTTTGCACGCCTGGCCTCCAGCACGCGCTCCTTGCCATTCGCCACGCTTCGGCTACATGTGCACGCTTGAGACTTATGGGACGCCCAAGCGTTGTCAAAGGTTCGAAGCTGGTGCTGGAGGTTGGACGACCAAAACTCCTCCCTGCCAGCCTCACCCCGTCGGTGACTCATATGGCACATGCTTTGTTTCTTTTGAAATTTTTTGCAACATTTACTTTCTCCGTGTCGGACCAGTGGCATTTTTTAAGTAATTTTGATGCAGCTCCATTCTAACTTGCTGTTTGTCCCACCTTTTAACAGCGTCGCTACTGCCAACAAAGACTGTACCATATTTTCCGAGCTATAGTTCGCAGACTATACGAGGATGTGTTTTTTCTAGATTGTTTATTACAACAAATTTTGTGAATGATGGAGTATGTTAATGATGATTCATGTATAAGAGCCTCTTTGTTAAGCTAATAGAGCAGGCATTAAGCTGTGCTATGTACAAACACTTTTTATGTCTAGACTCTAGACTAAGATGGTAGTCCGGGTGCAGACTACCCAAGGAAAAACTTTTTAAATTGAAATTTGCTTTTGCAGTCTATATACTGGGCACAGACTATAGTCCTGAAAATATGGTAAACGGCATACAATACCCAAAAACACTACAAGGCACAAGTTTAGTGCAGATGTCAAACGTTAAATTGTTAGAGTGGATATTGTCCAGCATTACCTTTGAACTTAATTCTTAAACAACTTTTTCTCTTTTTTTAGGAACATCAAAGTGGCACAAGCACTTTGATTGACAATAAATCACATTGAATTTTACCAGTTGTAATTCCTCATCCCCCCTCCCCCCCCCCCCCCAAAAAAAAAAAAAAAAAAAAATTCTCCTGGCTTTGTTATTGCCTTTCCTTCGAGTTGTGGAGAAACTAAATGAATCCTCTGCTTTGCAGATGGTCCCATTCTTACATTGGCCTCTAATCACATAAAAATATTGAAACCTAATAAAATGACAGCATCACGATTTCTGAAACAGAACGACAACAATGCAGGTGGCAAGAGCTTGACGAGGTTGGCTGATTCTTAAAAGATTTGTCAACTTTTTGTTTGTTACTTGCAAAAACTCTGAAAAGCAAACTCACTTGCTGATGATAAAAGGGTTTGTGCAGCATTGCGGGCAAGTTTCCGGCTCTTTTTTCTGGCCTGGTCTACCGTCAAGCCAGAGACCTGGGCCAAGCGAGACTTCCTGCAACAAAAAAAGAAAAAGCATGAAACTTTTGTGTATCACAAATCGCCCAATAAACCAAGCTCAGTCACCATAGGCCAGTCCCCCAATAGCGTAAGCATAAAGCTATTTGGACATTTGTAAAAACACTAAGCACTGTTAAAACGTTAACGAGACATATTTGAGGCTTTCAAAAGCCATTTTACATTATGCCATGAAGCCAGAATCCTTCTAAGTGGACTGGGTCACAAATTTATGTCACAAATTGCAGTTCTGAAATATTTTAGATCATGCACAATTAATTATCCTTGTGCAAAACACATATAGGCAGTACACATCTTACTAGCAGCTCATTTGTTACTTTAGCTCTTTTTTTCAGCGTGCAGTGCCCAAATTTTAAAACATTGTCTACTTTTATTCTGTAGACCCCATTCCAAAAATTTCAAACTACAACAACACATGATTTGCACAATGCATCTCACTCTAAACATACATCGCAATTTCATATATGGTAGAACTGAGGGTGGCTGGTCGATGTTTTTAATTCACTTCATATTTTGACATGTCTCTGCCTGATCTACAGCATAAGCAAATTCATAAATGTTTTTACCAAGAAAAAACGTCTCGGAACACAAAAACCATAGATCATGAAAAGGTGGATACTTGCATTCACATGCACTGTCGGTGTGGTTATGTTTGGTAGTAAATAACTGAAGTGATATTTTTATGTTAATTGCACTATGCATATTTAAAAAAAACTCAAACACTGCACTTAAGAGTGGTCGCCTGCAAACTTTGCAAGCCTCTATCTTTATTATTTATTTATGTCTCATGTGTGCTGCTATAAAATTATATAAAGTGTCCGTATTAAAAGGTTGACGCGATATTAGCACGCATACATGTGATCGCCACCTAAAAACAAAAACTTCCGACAATTAAAAAAAAACATTTTTTTTTTTTTTACATTTGCACCACCTGATTAACTTTTATGGGCTTCCATCGGACATTTTATCTAACACCGCTTCAGCGAAAACTTCCATGGAAGCCGTTTCATTGAATGCCATTTTATTGAACGCCGTTTCACTGAAGTGACTTTATTTAACACTGCCTGGTTGAACAGTAGGAATTTTCAAGCGACAGCTTTACAGGCAACACTTTGCGGAGATTTCAAGCTCATGTTTGGTTTACAGCTTTGAAAAAACCCTCTATCTATCCCCTCTTGGCACGAGGAGAGGGAAGTCAGGACTTCCCGTGGGCCAGGCCGCACCAAGAGAACAAAGAAGGCAGCCCTGGCGTCCCGCCAAAGAATGGCGCAACAAAGTGAGAACCTTCCTGTTGTCTGCTCAGACCTAACAGTTGCTTCCAAATACTCCTTGCACTATGCGAAATCAATGTTGGGTGGTTTTAGGAACTTCCACCATGCTTATCCACTTACTTCACAGATCACTATGAAAATTAACCCCGTCGCACCTCCCTCCTCAGGTACGTGACGGCACCATTTTACCCGCATTGCGCGATCGAGCTACAGCTGCTTTCGTTTCTTCGCACATTATGGTCGAAAAATATGACTTTTTTTTATCTAGGAAATAGTTTTCTTGTAGCACCAGAAAGATAGCAGACCTTTCTTTTCCTGCAAAGAGGGCAACTAATAATGAGAAACTTCAGTTTTTCCACTACATCTTCCATTTTTATTTTTTCTTATAGTAACTGGTGACCTGTGCTACTAATGAGCCAATAATAAATGGGAACACTGCCTCGACATTCTATGAAACTTGGGATCATCAGGTGCAGTGACGAAGGTTATATCTTCATTCTTGAAGAGACATATTTTGTTTCAAGCACAAAAGAGTGCTTGAAGCAATAACAAATCTTCATATCACATAAAAAAAAGAAAATATGTCCTTTAATTATTTTTTGTAATCAGCAGAACCATGAACCTGACGGCTTAATCTGAGTTCTTATGATGGAAGCTATTCTCCTAGGGTAGAATGAAAGCACAAAAAAGTAGACGAATACAAAATAAAAAAAGATGCAATGAAGAATAGTTACATTTCTTTCCAGATGTATCTTTCATATGTGAACAAATAGGGAAAATAGTATGTGGTGAAGTACAGCCACTTATCTTACCTTAAAACAGTAAGTTGCAAACCAACTTAAGATTTTGTTATGTTCTATGATTCAGTAACTAAACTTATGGGAAAAGGGTAGTAATTCTGTTTCTTCATATTTGACAACAGCAAGAAAACTTAGAAGCGAGAATAATGCTCTAAAATTGGGTGAAGTGAAATTCAAAGAAAAGGCATGGTGTCAAGCAATTTGGTGAATCGGCATTTGGTGAAATTTCCACTGATTCAATGAAACAATGTTTTATGAAATGGTGTACAATGGAAAGTCCAGTACACATCAATAGTTTTCTTTTTATTGAAGTATTATTTTTATGAGGTCATTCAGAGCTAAAGAAATAATTATTACATTAACCTTTTAGGAGTCATGTGACTTTTCCCCTTGTTGACACCTATGGTCAATATTAATTTATGCAAATAATGATCCAATCAACGAGGGACTGTTAATTTAACTTCTAAATTTAATACAAGTGATACATTCACTTGAAAACAACTCTGTATACTCCTGGGTGCTTTAGGCACAGTTTTGGAACAGCCAGCAGTACTTAAGGAGTGTGTGGTGCTTTTCGAACTTGTCACCTGGGTGCAGGCCAGGATAACAAGTGTGTGTTTTATAGTAAAGGCTGTTTTGCACTTCTGCCCTTTGGTTTTCCTGTCACTGCAGATGGCACAGTTCTTGCACGTGGTTCTGAAACTCACTGCAAAACAGCGAGTTTCGAAAAACTTCCAGAAAACATATCCTCCAGTTTTGCTGGCACCTCCTCTCCCCCACACCCGGGCCAAACTGACAGGGCGGGCTGGCCCCCTGAAAAAATATCCTGGCTATGGTACTGGGATGGAGTTTAAATCATATAAGTGTGTGCAAAAAGCCTAGCCATCCATTTAGGAAAAAAGTTGTTTAGCGATGCTCACGGTACTTAGCAGAGGAATAAACAACCAGAAAGTCTAGTTTACATTTCCAATGAAAGATGGTGCAAGTTAAAATTTTCAACGCCTGACCAGAACTGGAATATTTTTTTTTTTTTTTTTTCAGGGACGCTTTGATGCATTATTGCAAAGGGTTAAGAGCGGCAAGAGAGAACATACAATTCATAGGCAGGGAACCAATGGCACTGGTTTCCCAGGGTCAAGCGACTTCTGGCTAAAAACAAGCTTCTTGGGGGAGAACTTTCTGAAGTTTCTGTGGAGACAATTCATAAGGAAAGAGTATGTGTTTGCTGGTTGGAAATTCACCAACAAACACCCCCAAAGATGTGCAGTATATATCAAGCTACAAGGTAGAGCATTCACATATGCATTTACACGAGTCAACAGCAATATTGTGAGTAGTGCACCTAAAGTATTGCTGGAGACTCTTGCAGATAAACTGCCTCAGCACATTGCGCCACAATAAAGCTGAAAGTTAGCCTCGCTGAGATCTATCAGAACTAAATAACAATGCAAAAAGTTGCCCAAGACTAACTAAGAAAGGGCACAACCTGCACATTCCAGTACTTACTTCCTCAATGTGGCTGATGCTCTTAGTGCCAGTTTTTGAAGCTCCCCTGTCCGGAGCAGCATCTCGAAGTGCAGGTTCTGTGGTATATCTACAGCAGAAAGGAAGAAACAGAATGAACAATCAGTTATCCGTACTACTTCGCATGCCCTTTCCTCTAATGCAGGGGTCTCCAAACTTTAAGGCTAAGGGGTCAGATCGGCGATCTGTCGCCGTCAAGAAAATAAGTAAGCAAGTATAAATGAGCAAAAGCTATATAAATAAACTTAAATAAACAAGCAAATACAAAAAAATAAACAGTAAAAATTAGAAGAATCTAAGGTGGATCAGTACATTTACCCATTTACTTTATTTTAAAATCAATATTTAGGTAATCATGATATTACACAATAATTGGGGCCCAGAAAACTCACAAGGCATAAATACAAGCGCATACGGAACTTAGGCATGTTCACACAGGGCAGAAGACTAAAGAGAATAGAACTAATACTGACAATATGCAAGAGACACGACACAGGATGCTAAGCACAATATACATGGGAATGCAAGGGAATATTAACATATTCAGTTACCCAGATATGGAACAGGGGACTAAGAATAGTCATGCTGGTGATGACGATGTCCAATTAATAATCTAATGAGAGGATAAGCCTTACAAAAACTGTTTTCTCGCTTCTTTGTTTATCTTTGTTTATGTGATTGGTGCGCGTTGCAGCAGTTTTTTTGTTTTTTTTTATGCACGCTGATTTTTGCATTGGCAGCAGTGGGCTTGCTGGGAGCGGGCTACAGGACGGTCTTCATTGTGGAAGACCTCCGCAGGCCAGAGTTGGCCTGCGGGCCGGGATTTGAAGACCCCTTCTCTAACTCACTTGCAAGGATATTTAGCAGCAAAATAATTGACAAGCCAGTCAAGGCCATCCTTCTTCAAGGGGTCCCACCTTCCCTATATCACCCACGCTTTCAACTGACCAAATATTTTCTGGTCATCCACGGTTGCCTGTGTCAGGACGTGCGCAATATCAAAAGCTTCTAAAAAAAACAAAAAAACTAGAAAATTTGTTTAGTTGAAAATTGAGAATGCAGGCCAGCCATCCTGCTGCCATTGGCAACCTGAAGATGTCACCCAAAAATATATTTGAATTTGATGCATTGTAGAGAAAGTCAAAATTGTTTGCCTCGTCAATTTTGATATGGACAATCAGAGATCATTATTTTCTGTGGCAATGATTCTAATTCAAGCTAGAAATTTGCATTGCAGTTCCAGGTGTTCCTGCAACAACCACACCCTTGCAACCGGTTTATACAAAATGTTTCATCAATTAGTGAGAATTTTTTTTTTGTTTTTTAAAGGGCATTTGAAGTAAAGAAATGATTCCTTTGGGATAACACTGATTGTGGCAGCCATTGGGCTACACTTGTAAAGTGATGAGTATCAAATAAATTACTCAAACTCCACTAATTAACCTTCAAAATATTTAGCTTAGCTGGCACATTCCGACTGCAGTTATGCTGCACGTCGACCAATTTAATATGCCATAGCTGTTATTAGAGCTCATACGACCAAATTCTGTTTTATGCAATAGAGGCATTTTACTAAAAAAAAATTTCCTCTATGTATGTTCACATTGCATCGACAGGCATTTGTCAACTCAGCAAAAAGAGAGAAAACGATATAAGAAAAATTGACCGAGTGTCGTTTGTTTGGGCCCATTTTGTCAGAATACCGTCCTCAGTCACTCTCATGAATAACTTCAAATTCAAAATTTGATTTTCCAGGTTCATGAGAGATTTTTAGAGCTACAAAGACTCAACAAGGTCTGGGATCCCGTTCAAGGTCACCAGCTCTGAGAAAAACATTTTTCACATTCGAGAAATTCCAGAGAAATTCTAAAAAACCAGTCAGACAAAAAATGTTAAGAACAGTCTTCATTAGTGTGAATACATCGATATCATTTAGAAGCAATTTAGTAAAGATTGATGTTAAGTTGTCAATGAGACAACAATCATCTTTATTATACCGAGGAACCGGACATTTCTCAAGACAAGGAATATGTATGGTGCTTATATTTCTAATCAGGCTAGAAATATGGAAATACAAAAAAAAAAAAAAAATCCACAAATGGTGATGAAAAAAATGAATGGAATAAAGTAGGGCAAATGCAGACAAGGCAAATTGCTTTGTCTTCAGAATGTAAAGGTTCTGTATGACAATTATATGAAACATCCAAATTATAATTAACCTTTTTATTTTAAAGATATAGGGTGCCATTCAGACTAGTTTTTATAATTGTAGTCCAAACCAGGTGGCAGGAAATTAAGTGGGAGTAGATTATCTTATTGAGCTTTATAACTGGCAGAAAATTGCAGTACCTGATGACTATAACAACCACCTGTGGAAGTGGTATGGTAGTTGGATATGTGGCAGACGCCTGCTCTGGCAGCTCTGCCAATGTTATGTTCTGCTGCAGGTCGCTCTCCAGTTTGATAATCCACAGAAGCTTTGACAGTCAGGAGTTAAAGGGCCCATGAAACGAATTTCGGGTTGGAGTAAATCAATTTATATTGGGATTTTACTAACAGCACATCGTTCAGTAGGCCAAAAGAAAAAAAGGTAGAAAGTCAAAAGCCTGACTTTCGGTACGAAAATTTTGAAAATACAGCGGACCCTTTCGTACCTCCTTCCCTTCGTAAGCTCTCTGCCTTTTCACCCAGATACATCCGCGGACCCCGCAGCGCGTCATCGGGCCCATACGCACGTCACACGGCACCGGACCTCACTTATTCCCTTCACCCCTAAGCTGACATTGTGGTGGAAGCTACGCGCTTGCCGGACCAATCAGCTACCTCCCTCTCATCACCTGACCTCATTCTCTGCGCGTCGGTATGCGCGAGAGAGCGTGATCACGTGGCAAAAGTGTGGCTGGCCCAACGAGCACGTAGCTTCCACCGTACTGTCAGTTTCAGGGTGAACGGGGTGGGGAAAGCAACTTTTGTCTGAATTTTGAGCGACGGGATAATCTTTTAGGGGGACAATGGCTGTGCCCGGCTACAGAAACGAGATTCCAAGCAAGAGGGACTCCCCCCTTACCGTGTTCTTGAACTGTTTGATAGAATGCGCGATTTATGAGTTGAGGAGGAAAGCTAAACAAAAAAAAGTGGGAGAAGTGTTTCATGACTGTGCCAAGCAAAGCACGGTTTCGGGATGTATTCGCGACTCCAGCAAAACTGACGCCGCCAAGCGGGAAAGCCGGGGACCAGCCGGTCCAGGTCGCTCCGCGCCCCTCCGCGTCTCTGGTGGCTTTCGCGGAGACGTGTTGTCGGCGTGGTGGCGAACAATGTGATTTGACAAAGGTCCGAATATTTCTTAAGTTCGCCTGAGTGATCATTAGTGTGGTGAAGCCTCAGCAGATTGTTTCTTTCCATCACATGTTTGAGAGCCCGTTTACTCCACAGCACACGGTCGCGTGCTTTCGATTTCTTGGATGAGGAGGAATCACGGAAAAACTTTTTGATTTCTTGTCTGTCTCGAATCACATTCAAAGTGACGACTGCTTGGTAACTGATAAGTGATTTCTTTGTAAGGATCTAGAACAGTGGACTGAGGACGACAGATGAGGCGTTTCACTGGAGGGAACACCAATGTTGCAGTCAAGTGAACGGGAAGGTTTGATAGCTGCTTTTCTTGAGTTTGGTTGTCTTCGGTTAGCTTCAAGTTTGAGCCACCCACGCCGGTCGGTGCGTTGGCTATTCATCTTGGCTGCTTTTCGCCGAAAAAGCCTCTGGACCACCTGAAGGAGTTGGGCTGATTTCGCAATTACTTGATTTAGGAAAACTTGCTCGCTGAAAATGATGAATGAGGGAAATTATTTGTTTTCAAATGATGAATGAGGGAAATTATCTGTTTTCAAAAGGTGGGAGACAAGTCTCGCAACGTTAGATGCTGTCACGGCCTTTTAACCTATCGCGCCTCCAATATTTATATTACGAGGATGTCGAAGCCAGCAGCAATATACGTCTACATTGGTCAGGTGGATTGGCCACAAAAAAATACTAAATTTCTCCGTTCAGGATTCGAAGCAAAGTTCAATGCAGAGAGGTTCTGCGTGGATCTTCAATGAAGACTCTCTTCAGTTTGTCTCCGTGCTGCCGGCTATAGAACCATTTGGCTAAGTTTAAGTAGTATGTCTCCATCTGTCAAATATACTTTTATTCAGCAGCTCACCTAATAGCTAGTCAACTAAGCTCATATTTCAACCCGAAGGATATACTAATATCGCTTTAGTGGGACCCCCCCATAGTACGTAATATAATACATAACCCGCTCGTCAAAATGACTTCGTGATTGCTACTAAAACCTGAATGGAAATACGAGTATCAGCTGCTTAGTGGGGCGCCGGCGGGTTAACATGGTCTTTGGCTCAAGAAGCGGTTGCTTAATTTTCGTAATTTTCCTGCAGCCTGTGTTGTTGGCCAAGCAGACGACTGGAGCTGTTTCGTAACGCTGATACGCACAAAAGCTCGATTTCGCAGACAGATAAGTCACATGGTCGAGGCATGCGAGTTAGCCGAAAAGTTACTCTCTGTGGAACAATTTTATAGTCATCGCCGCTTTCCTTAGATGATCAAAACTGATTAGTATATTACCGTCTCTCCGGAGCCCATAGTTTCGGTTTTGAACGAAATCTCCGAAACGAAAGTTTGACACGAAAAGAACAAAAAAACACCGGCAAAACAAAACTATGCTTTGCAAGTTTATCTGCACCGGCTACACTTAACCGTCTCAGTTCAAATACCTATAAAATTGGGCATTAAACAAAAGAAAATCTGTTAAATTAAACGCGCCACCTGTTCAGGCGGCCCGGCCGAGCCGCCGCGACCTGGACTCAGCCGCCATGTTTGTTTGGCGGTGGCGCCCCCTATAGGTGGCTGGAGTCGCGAATAGGGGCAGGAAGCGAGTGATCTGTTTTGAGCCGCATGCAATTTATGTCATGCGAAGAATGCGCACATATAACTTATTTTCATGTGCTCGGACTTGAGTTGTTTAATAAGTTTACTCTCTCTCACTTCCCGCGCCCGCAAAGTTCTCCTTTT